TTTTATCCTTTACTGCACCGGAAGTCTTCCATACCCGCAAATTTACTCAGAAATCAGACATATATGCATTTGGTATTGTTATGTATTTGATTGCCTCTGGTGAACCACCTTTTAGAGATAGGCAGTTCGATGGAGATTTAATATGTGACATTATGGGCGGACTACGACCATCGATGCCTGATTCTGCACCAGATGAATACAAGAAACTTGCTGAGTGGTGTTGTGATGCTGATCCTGACAAGCGCCCAGATGCAAATACACTTTGTAATAACATTCACGGGCTTATTTGTGGAGGTACTTCTAACAGCAACGCATGGAATACTGTCTATCATAATGGTGTAAAACCCTTATGAGTTAAATACTCTAGTAAGCTCTTTCCTGCAGGAGAATTACCTAAACCAAGAAATAGCTATGTTGATACAAATAAAGTCAATATACAGTGTTAATAATATCCATTTCTTATAATTTAGAGACTCAAACTCTTTTTGAATAAGCTTGTAATTTACCAGTTTTATTCAAAGGTTTACTCCTCTTCGAATGTCAATATGGTTGAGTTAACAAGATGCCGAAATAAAATCGCGCACGTTTACCGTTAGCTGCCTTTGCCGGGGTAGAAAATATAGAGTGCATTATTTATTACAAAGTATATTGAGACCAATTTCTAAGTTTATGAAACTGGTAATGAGTTTAATCTAATCGTTTCAGGGTTGGTGCGAAGGCTGAGAGACATTTGATGGAATGGCATAGTCAAATTAAGATTTATTATGTAAATAACAATTTATACGTCAAAAACTTTTGAACCCCTTCCCACATATGGGTTCTTATCCTATTTATTATTTTTTAGATGTCAAAAGATTAAAGGTCGCAAGCCAAAACGATAAAATAAGTAAAGAATATATACAGACATCATATTCAAGAATTCTGAAAACGTATCGTAACATCATGTTCATAGTGGCATAAACGGCAGAGGAGCATTCAAGCTGATAATATAAACAGTGACGAAGAAATAAAATTTATGCTGCATTCTGAGAGTGTAATTTCTCCTTGCAAAGATAATACACTGTCGCTCTCGATAAGATGAAGTCATATTATTGAGAGTTCATTATAACGAAATCTTTTTATATATTATAACCAGAAAAAACCTCATCTTAGCCCAACATCATCTTATCAGGAAATCGTTATATCGAGAGTGACTGTGTAGTTATTAAAAGTGTCTTCAACTGTCAAACAATTTTATTTGCTTATAATCGTAAAATCTATACTAATTCCCATATCATCTCTTTTTCATTAATCTATCTATGTGTAGATGAGAGTTGCTGAAAAAGGAAATTATTATTCAGAACTTCTATACCATTAACATATTTATGGATTTACATTTTGCTTTTTTTTTTTTTTTTTCGTACTCATTGATCTATAATTTTTATCCTATATTATCCAATGTTCAACGTCTATTATAACCCACCGCTTTTATAGTCTGTTGTTTAAAGCATCAAGAATCCCTTGAGCCAAAGACTCAAGCTTAGAAATTCTTTCCTCAACACCATGCATAGTCTTCGTCGCTCTTTCCTTTTTATACCATTTTTCAACTAAATCCGCATTAGCGTAATAAAATATATGCTTTGGAAACCATTCCCTATTGTGATGCTCTTTTGAGCTGAGAAGCATTTCTTCAACTACAATCAGGTATTCGGCTCGTAGTACGAGAATCATATTTTTTTCATCTTCTTTCACAGTCTCGACAACCGCTCTGCAGATTAGAAAAAGTATAGTGTGGGGGATATTGCCATAAAAAGATAATAACAAAACACGTCGATAACAATAATTTACACTTACGTCATTAAAGCGATAAGTATGTTCTGCATCATTGTAACTAGTATGAGAGTGCCTATTACTAAGATTACGGTGAGAGTGAGGAAGTTTTGATTTTGAACCAATGGGGAAGTGCCACTAGTCCAAAAGAAGACTTGTACTACAGAGTTAGCTATGTTGTTGAAAGTGCTGTCGCCAGAACTGGAACTGTTACTACTAGAATTGTTTGAACTGCCCGAATCACTCGAGCCACCACCACCACCACCACGTAGTTTGGATACCATGCTTGATATCATATTGTCAGAACTGTTATTACTGCTTGCAGCTGTGCTGTCGTTTGCAGGATTTGATAGCAAAACAAATCTATGACAGCAGAAACGTTGTTACAATTAAATCCAAACATAATTCAAAGAGATGACCGAAAAAGGGCACTTACATTGTATGTCCGTATCCTATAATGAATAAAGCCATAACTACCAGGAAGCGATAAGTATGTTTGAGTATCGATATTGGAGTGCTAACGTAATGTCCAATACCTAGAAAGAGAATTTGATCTTGTGTTAATAATTGATTATTAAAATAACACCTAGCTTATATGAAACTTTGTTACCGTTTACGACTCTAAGCATGAGAATCTAAATAAATAAAGTAACAGGTATTTGTTAAAATTTCTTACGTCATCAATCTCAATTATTTTTATCACAGCAATACTTACAAATTGTACCCATAGACTCAGAATAGCGAATGCAGAATAAATAACGATAGTCTGCGCCCCGTTCGCCAGAACCCCAACGGAATCCAGAAGCATGAGAATATTGGCACCAACAGCGGCTATGATGGTCAGTAACTCGATCCATGCATAAGTGCTTCTTGGATTAACCCTCAGTTTCTTCAAGGCGAACAATAGAAAGAATACATAATTGAAAACCATAATAAGCGCATAAAATGTCATCAATTTCGAGCGTTCTGCATTCAACCAGTGCCATATCAGGGCCGAAAACATTATGAAGCAAACACAGTAATATACAAGATACTGGGTAAATTTGTTTTGCCCATATTTCCTCCATTTAAAATCGACCACCGCCTCCATACAGGGACTCTCGAAGATAGAACTTGACGGAAGTAATTTGAATAGATTGAGAAAAGGACTGCATGCACATTCGATCGACCTTCTCATGGATACCATGTATAGAAGGTTAACTGCCGGAATCCAGAGTAAGAATGAAGGTTTCGACAATCGAGACAATCTCTCTGCTGTCTCGCTCCAGAAAGTCGGTTTTTCGGGCCGAGCTGATTTCCTTGCTGCATTGGTATTGCCATCGAATTCCGGTAGAGGCACCAGACACAGTGTCCCAAATCTATGTCTCTGTTCTGACGGCAAAACCGTATACATCGACTTGAACAACCTTGCAAAGAAATAAATAGACTTTAACACATTGTGCCGAGTCTTTTGGGTGAATGTTAGCGAGTCGTCATCCAGTTCTGGCGGTGGTTGTAGTTTGGGAATGAAATCGATCGATCGCACCCTGCTTAGTCGTTCCGGAGATACGCTAACGTCGCAATATTGAAAGTCACTCGGATCGACAGTCTTTGCTCCAAACACTGCTGAATTTGAAAAGTATTCATCAACAATATCTAGTAAAGGCACAGAGATATATTTTAATTAAATGAATTAGTAAAGTGATTTAATGTGCTTGTTACTTTTTTTTTTATGCTTCAGCTGACCTTGGTGTTTTCTATATAACAGTGGTAGAGCACTTGAAAATGTCGCCATCCAGCCGACTGCCTCTAATGCATTCTTACTGTAATGTCTTAACATTTTTCTTAGACTTTCTCTGCTAATCCCCGACGCAACGGTCAAATCGCTTTCATAATACTGATATCCATCACCATAAAACTGTGGTCGATGTAGACATCTCCCCGGTTTCAATATTTCAGCAATGATATCGTCGTCCTTTGTAAGCAACAATGTCCTCATGATCTTGTATCTTGAATCCATCAATTGCCAGACGTCCGGTTGATTTTCAATGACGTTATAAATGGCTCGGCGTGCACATGATTCAAGATCTCGTATTCTCTTTGAATTCCGAATGTATGCTGACGTGTTGGGTGTCTGTTGTTGTATCCGTTTGATGAATGCAAAACTGTTGACGAGTGGTACCACTGATTGTCTCAGGTGATTTCCATCTTTAAATAAATTGTATATGCGGATAACAGTGTCTTCCTTTTCATCATCAGTTGCTACTTTTATTATTAAATCATGTTCTCCTTCACGTCTATGAGTGTGGTGTTTAATTTTTACAATATTTGATTGGAGGTCGGATATGTGATCATGCGCGGCCCAGAGGAATATCGGTTTGTTGAGATTCTGCCATATCTGTATTGTATCTTCACCAACGATCAACCACAAAGATCTCGAACTATCCAGGGCTTCTGACCGGTGCGGTCTTCCGGTCCTTTCCCAGGGTTCGAAATTAATGGCATCGGGTAATAGACCGTATTTTTTTTCCGACATAGGCAATGGTCTCTCAGGTATACTTAATAACTCTCGGGATTCGTTCGAATTAATCACCAAACTAGCGAGTAGAGGAGAGTTACAAGGCGTCTCGTCTGCAACCATATTGATTGGATCTAATTTCGTTGGTTTACCATCCGCTTCAACATAAAATAGCCCACCCACGGTCTGTATTATAGGATGATGCTTTGATACCCTAAAACCAAAGTCCTTTTTCGAAAACCGACTGAACGAGTGATATTCCGTATTTGTGTAAAACTCTGATAGTTCATAAATCGTATGGCGATAACCATGTTTGTTTTCAATTATGGTAAATAGCTTTTGATCATTGTCGATAAACGCCATGAACACAGGATGACCATATTTTTCTGAACATAGCATATCAATGTCTCTTTTTTCTGATCTTAGGGTAGCCACATGTATGCCGCTTTCCATAAGATATACGCTTATTTGTCCCTTTTTATCGCAAGCAGCCAGGAACTTTGAGTTGGATGATATCGTAACAAAAGGGATAAGAGCAACCATGACTGCTTCAATGTCGTTGATCGGAGCGTGTCGAAAGTTTTGTACCAACTCGCCATTCGTCACGTCAAAAAGATCAAGCCCTCCCGATGGATCGATGCTTATAAGAAACCGATCGATAATTTGCCTATCCAGTAACAGATTCTGTTTGTATGCCTCTTTTACTGATAGTTTCTGCATCATTGGGGGTGGATACATAAACAGTTGTCGTTTCTGCTGTTTGTATATGTTGCACAGCGTATAAGTAGTTTCTTGGAGAACGACCACCGTTTCGTTATCGATAAATCGAATTACGCCACCAATGTCCAAATCAACAATAATAGTGTTTGTTGCAGCGTCGACTATTCTTGTTGAGCCAACACCCAGACTATCCAGATCAAAGATACCGTCTTTGCGTATGTTTACTTCTATTAATGCTTTCTTTGGAAGTGTGTCTGGGGATATGTTAAACACGGACAATGCTATGGTATGATCATCTGCTACTGCAAGTGAGATGTGACCTCCCTTGGCAACTAGACTTGCTGCAAAATTTTGTGGGAGACTTATTTCGTCTTCAACGGGTCTTGCTGTTCCACATGTCGATATACTGTATATCTTTATTGCGGTAGCGTCTGTAAAATTGCAAACAAAAGGTTAACTCTGCTTGATACTAAAATGAATCGTAAATAAAAGATGATATCGAAATCACTTTTTTTTTTTTGCTCACCAGGATCGATTACCACAACATTTTGTCCGTTAGGGCTTACAGAAATACAGCTATAATTATCTACTACCTTGGACTTTTCTTCATATTCTTCCATGGACAGTGTTTCTTTATAAAAATGCAACAATACTGGCAGACTGTATTGCCTAGAAATGTCTTTCAACGAGCTACTAATCCAAAGGCTTACTAAGAAGAACGAGAGGGCTCTAAAAACCGAGACAGCGCATAACAATTTAATTATGTTAAAACGATTGCTTGTGTGCCGTTGTTTTTGGCCTTTGTTTTGCTAGTCTTGGTAGCACTATTGCACCAAGCAGACAACATTCATTCCACTTTCGTGTATGATGGGCGTATGCGCAACATTGGTGCATATCTTGTTGTGTAGCTTTCTTTTCTGGGACTTTTTCTTAACACTTTTCGAGTAAAGACAATCACTCGGTTATCTCTTCCAATACCAATTGTCTGTTGTTTCAAAAATGTTCAATGTTATACTACTCCTTGACAAACTAACGGGCATTAGCAGCAAAAAATATTAGTTATCAGACTTTTCCCCCGCATACTAACGCCCTGCCTTCCCCAAAAAGTATTCTCATATGTCGATCACGGAATCCACCATCGAATTCTATGGCATATTTAACATGTGAAATAAGGTTATAAAAACAATGGAACTCTGGGAAGACATTAGAATCGTATGAGTAGGCGGCATAAATGAGGCCTGTTAATTGCAGGTTAATGTATTAATATGCGAACGGTGTTATGCAAGGAACATAATTATTATTAGCATAGCAACGCACGTGACTGTGTATATGCAGGGTAATGGGGTCTCTCACCCTATCATAACAATAACAATTACGCCCGTCTTATGTGCATTAGTATTGTTATGACAACAAAAGAACATATACGTCAGGTGACGATTGTTCATTTAAAGAAAACAGACATCAAGTTGTTTCACCAAGTAGATCTTAGTATTAACCAAGGATAGTAATAGTAGAAAACTCACTAACGTTACTGTAATTTCTGTTAATAAGCTCATACTAGCAGACATACGTTTATTGATTTCATTAATTAACTTGAAAAGATGGTGAACGTCTAAGCGAAAGTTTTACTATCCCCCGTAGCATCTAAAAGCATTTTGTACATTTCTCGCAACCGACCGTTGTGTGAAAATGACAGTTGAAGCCTCATCAGCCGATCAAACTGTGTTTGTTAGACTTTTATAGGTCAGTGCAGTTTCCATTATTTTATATTTATTAGTGAGCAACAATATTAGATAATATATGGTAATTATTAATAATAATAACGTAAGTATTACTTATCTCAGTAATAGTAGACTTGATCGTTTATCTAATTACGAATTCAAGATCGACGTTCATACCGTATATCACTCAAGATGGAATGATGTAATATCTCTAAAGTTCGTTTTAATTAGGGCCATCGATAATGATAATAAGGCAGACTTGATAACAGGCTAAGTTATCGTAGCTGACATTCTAATTCCAACTATAAATCTTTGTCTTCTCCGATATATAAGGGAATCTGAAATTTATACTATTAGACGTGCTGAATATTTGGTTTTTTTTCGCCTCGAAATATAATAGTCATTATTTGTTACTAGTGTTGTACGCTACTTACGATTGTAACAATTAGTATTAAGCATAGTAATATTTATTAATAATAACGAAAGAATACGAGGCAAGGGGAAAAAGAAAAGAAATAAGAGAAAAAAGTTGGTTGTTTTTCGTAATGCAATATTAAATATTTAAGAGATGGTAACTTGACAAAAGGAATATTGTCAAAACGGGAAAATGTTAGGTTTTTTTTTTTTTTTTTTTTTTTTTTTGGAAATGAAATTAGCGATATGATTTACATTCGTATGGTAGTTAAAGCCGTCTTGACAGAAAAAAATTGTTGGGCAGATATTTAAAAATGAACAACGTCTGTATATAAAAATAGTGATGTGTTATAATTAAATTCTTGCATTAAACCGTATTAAATTTAGCAGCCTTTCTTTATTAAAAGCTCTAACCACGGCACTGTCTCCAAAACATTCTTCATGCAAAATTGATCATGTTAATCTTTTTGTGCATCGATAAACTCAGCAGAACGAGTGACCGCGAACGCTGAATTATATCGAGAACTACATAAGGTCGGCGCACCTGTTTCAACCAATTCAGACGATCGATTTAGGGGTGTGTTGGAATTTTTAAAGCCGATCGAGGTTCGGTGATTCATATTAATTTCGCCTGGTGCACCAGTGGTGCACCATATATAGTACATGTGAGCTATTAGGGTTAGGGTAAATTTGCAGATCTCAATGGTGCACCACTGGTGCACTAGGCGAAATTAATATAATCATCGATCGATTATGCCGATCGAGATTCGAGTTTTGGGGGTTGAAACAGGTGGTCGGCGTGAGAAATTTAACTGAATCTCGTGATCAAAGTAACATTAAATGCGTGTGGATGGCGGCAGATTAAAACGAAATCAGATTAAAACGAGACCTGGGACTTTTTTGGGATGGGGTGTAATCTGCAGTCACGATTATTTATTTATTTCTGAAGAAGCATTTTCAAAGTGCTTATTGTTAATTTATTAATAACGCCAAATGATCCTCTTTAATTAAAACTGTACGAGCATTTCATTGACTGTATGGATGGTCGGTATTCGAGCAAGACACGCTTTTTCACTCATAGCATTAATGTTGTGTATATTAATGTCTAGACAGATGCCTGATATGCAATATGCGCGCTCCTGCGAAACTACTACATATTTCATTCGTTCACTCGTGATGATGCCAAAGTTCCAGGGGTAAATTCACGTAACAGTTTACTTCTCGCGTATCTTAATATAATGTTATAAGCACTTTCTTTATAATTATTTTTTCCATGCACGAATCTACAGTTGACTTTTCCTTATAATAAAGGCTTCAATATTTTCATAAAAGGTTTAATATACGTATGTTGGCCAAATCTTATGCCTGACAATAACATCAATATCCTTTCCGAGCGGGCTTCGTCCGCCACATGTCCTCTGTGGTTCACATGACGAGCTGGTTGAAGATTTTGACAAGTTTGACCTAATTAGTTTATAATATCCAGAATATTATAAACGACTGACGCACTCTTTGTTTCTAACAGGAGTGCCAAGTCTTTCTAAATTTGGAATTTCATAAAAATTCCGTTGATCGTTCGATCGTTCTGAAATCGATGAGTTTTGGAGAAGTTAATAGTCGATTCATTCAGTGGTATAAAAGGAATGGGGGATACATGTCTGACAAAATATCATTCAAAGATTACTCATGTGTCAAATCTTTGCGCAGTTGCCACTTTATGTTAATCCGTCAACTTATTACAAGCAGCCTCAAACGGTTCTCTTCAAAACGCCTATTCGCTCCTCAACTCTCAGACATTATCACTGGCTCCGCTCCTTCCCGACGATTTGTTTTCTAATTTTCGAAAACACAATTCATGGTTTCCTTTAATTCTTTGTTTGATGTATGAAAGAATTCGAAACGGAGGGAGTATTTAGCATCCTACAGAAAAAGTATACGACTCCTATGTTCTGGGATAGTACTGGAGTAATAGGTGGGTTTAATCCAAGTGTATAATGGGCTAGAATTATAAAGTGATAGATGATCTATGTAGGGGGAGCTGAGGTAGGGTGAACCGGGCGGCTTATGGGGTAACTTGTATAATAGAGAAGTGACAATAAATGATATAATATGAAAAATTGACAGATAAAATCGGAAAAGAACATGCGGAGAAAGGATTTGTCGACTATTTGCTACCTGCGATTGAGGTATCGCGCGACTATATCTGATATAGCAAGTCCATATTCTTGTAGTTATATCTTAACATGCTATTGATTATTGACTCCACTCAAGCAGGATCATTCTGAGCTTTTTGATCCAACGGTCCAAAATCTATCCTTATTTCATCAGATAGGATCTATGATAATGGCAAATGCTTTCTACAATAAACAGCTTCAAGATAAAAGTTATTTCGCGAAGACGATGGATTGGCTATGGTTGCAATCAAGAAAATAACAAAGGGTGAACAAATCGTAAGTATTCTTTTCAAAGATTGAGGTCATAAACGATTGAAACACAAAATTGTTAATCTGTTCAAAATTTTAGTATAACACATATGGAGACTTATGCTCAGCAGGTCAGTTCCCATCCGCCATGATATTTTATAACTGCTTGTAGTTTCTCACATATCAGTTTCAATGATCTTATGGGTTCGTCGATATGAAGAGAACGTAACGTGTTGGATGAGTAAGCATTAAAAATGGACGTTGAAAATTCAAGCTATATTTTTTTTTTTTACTAAATAAGGACTTCTAGTGTGTTTGTGATAGACATAAATGGTGACAAGATTTGTATAAGCTTATTAATTGGTCGAGTGTTTGTTGTAGCGAAAGTGCTTGCTTCCCCATTTCGACCTAAACTCCCGAAGCTCACATTGACGCACGAGATCCTATCATCATTGATAGAGCTGGTGGACAAGATATTAGACGATTACGAACTACCATTGAGGTACAACATAGCCTTATTAAGAAGACAAGATTATCGGTTACTATCGGTTATTATCAGTTCTCAACTAACTCGTGTTTTTTTTTCCTACAGTATGACGAGAAAATGATAAAACAAGTATATAACATGCCTGCCCACTTATATAATGCAGTAGTTGTCAGCTAAGTGAGAAAAAAAAAGATCGATTAAGGCGTCAGAGAAACTAGATTTATTATTGAAAAGAACGTTCAATGAGGAAATAATTGATTACACAACATCTATCGATATATATATATAGGATTATGCAGGTCTGCCATTCAACCTATATTTACAATATGTACGACATTGTACTTCAACGTCTTTCTTCTTGAGAGTTTCAGGTGCGCCAATCTGCAGGCAAACAATATCTTTAAATGGGTAATTACAATAACGCAAGATATCCGATAATGCATCGACAGTATTTTATAGTTAGTTGATGTATTTAGAAAGAGGACAACAGATTGAAAACAAAGTTATCACCGAACACAAAAATAACACAGGTTGTTCATTGCTGTGGATATACGTGGTATTCAAATAATACAAAAACCCTGCATCTGATTAACTTTCGTTTTCTATATTTTTAGTAACTTGCATTTTTTTGACATTTTCTGCGAATGTATTCATTTTTTGAAGCCGATATAATCCGCTAGTGTTGTTAAATATTCATTTAATCTTTTTCCGAAGAGAAGGCCATGTCGTTGCCTAAAATTCTGCTTGAAGGTATACAAGAAGTCGGCGCTAATGAAGGATTCACAGAGACCATTTATACTTTCGCTAGAGTTGAAAAGATGCCGGATAATTATGGTTGTATTTCTGTGAGTCCAAACGGTCGTAAGATTGCCATAGTTGATCCTGGTGGGTAAAGTTTGTTAGGTGCCGAATGCGATTTGGGTTACGATTAACGTCACTGATTATAACAATGCCCGTAGTTCTATTACTATTATGCTAACTTTTGACCTGCTACTCCAGAGGCTACTGTTATAAAAATTTATAACGTAGTAATAGACGGCAGCATAACGCCTTCCGATGAGATATTGCTCCCGTCAAACTTTGCAAGAAAGTTGGAAGCTAAAGAAGTTCATTACTCACTCGCAATATCCGACGAATGTACAATAGCAATATCAGTATTCAACGTATCGCCCGACACTCTTCCTGATGTTAAATGGTCTAGCGAATTAAGCGAGGTAGACGTAAGCGATGACAATAAACTCTGTCTGCATTATTTGGCTGTCGGCACTACTAGAATAGTAGTCACTCGGGAGGGCAAAAGCCTCGATACTCTGACAATCGCTGGCATTATTCGATTTGTTGACGAGAACACACTGATCGTCCTTCAAAATGAAAACGCCTTTACGCTTTTTCACATAAACAAGAATGATAAAAGAAAAATTGCATATCCACCAGCAATGACGGAGCGTCTATCGTTAGTAGAGGTATATGAGCAAACTTTGTTGCTACATAGATGTTCTGTTGGTAAATGGCTTATAAGTAATGATTTATCAAAAGGACTTGATGCTTTCGACATGACTAGTGGTGAATTGATACAAAAATTTCAAAAAGCTCCTGGTAATAGCGCCCTTATTCCCTTTGCTGCAAAATCCTCCGACTCGAAGTTTCTGGCTGTTTGCGATGAAGACGGACGGGTGAGCCTATATCTCACGGAAAATGGTATACATATAACCACTCTTAAGGCGGAAATATATGGACAATTCTTATTCGCTGCGTTTATTAACGATGATAAGAAACTGTTTACCATTATTGAACATGACGGCAGTTATTTCAGTGTAATTTATGAACTCTCAGACTTTTACACCAACACAGAATATCATTCATCCAGTTGGCATTTAAAAAAATATTTTGGATTTGGAAATTTAAAGAAACAAAACCCAATAGTACAGACTATGGCTGGACTATTCTATCTCGAGGCCAATGGTAAACCAACAAGAATAGACGTGGATTCGATCGCCTCGTATGCGTTTAGCGAAGATACAATTTCTCGCGATGATAAAAAGGTTATTCGGAAAACAGTTGATGAACAGCCATATGAAATCTCTAATAGATTGTCTCTCACTGTTTCCGAAAAGAAATCCAAAGCACGTCATCCGTTTATACATGATACTACCGATTTTGAGCCATGGGACAGAACAGGACGACCACACAGATCAGAATGTCTGGATAAGTCAAGATGTTTATTCCTGATCGTTGGAGAGGATACAATACAGATATGGGAAGATCGTACCAATGCACTATACTTTTGGGCAGCACATGATTTTATATCTGGTCAATCGAAGACATCTGATAAACACGATAAGTTTAGTAGATTTGAGAAGTTCGATAAATCCGATAAAACCGCAAAAATTGAGTATCACAAATGCCGACGAAACGGAGATCATTTAATAATAGACGTAAAAACTGATGACAAACCAGAGGAAACTACTATTTCCTTGTACGATGTGTTTAACGAAGACATGCGTTTAAGGCAGTCAGTGGTGTCACTCGTTAATAGTTTGGCTTTTATCAAGTGGATACAGCATCAACAGACATCCCGTAATTCAAAAAGGATACGTGATCTTGAACACTATACATGTCAAGCCATCCATGATGTAATTGCAAATCAACCAGACGTTTGGCAGTTAATGGATTCAAAATATAAAATTATGAAAATTTTATTACGTGCACATTGTGACAAGATTATAGCCGAGATATTGAAACCGGAGAGTCGTTTACATCGACCGCAGTTTTATGGCGATGGACATTACTATTATGAAAGCGATTTAACTGTTGCATCTGGAATGAGTAGAGACTGTTTGAGAAAATTGTTAGACTATTATAGTCAGAACACATTGGCATTAGATACAGTTGGCTGGATGTCCACGTTCTCACGTGCTTTACCATTGTTATATAGCAAACATCGAGGTCAGTCGACATTTAAATATAACATGTTTACATAGTGCTGCGAATGCTATTTACGTTGTGCTTGCTTTGGCGCTTTTGTCCAAATAACTAATCAACAAGTTTTTTGTCACTAGATATCATTGACGAGTTTTTCGCGAGATCAGCTGTCTTTGGAGCGATGACTGTCGATGCCAATAAATTTGACTATTGCAATATTGGTTTATCTCCGGAACGACTAAAGACCGTACGAACGATTGATCTCATTCCGAAGTTACAACCACCGCCCGAGCGGGATGATGACGACTACGATGACGACGACAACTCTCTATCGGTCACCCAAAAGGTTCGACATTATGGACTAAAATCTCTCAACACTTTTGCATCATTGGCCAGGGGGTCACATAAACCTGTACCAGACGAGAACAAACAGGCTAGATTCGGAACTTTGTGTCTGGCTCCTCTACCTGAATTCGATGCCTACGGTAGTTCAACAGAGTGGAAAGTTCGATTCTCAAGACCGGTATTTTTACGAAAGGTGGCGGAACGGTTATCTCAGTTCTCCACACCATCGTTCTTACTTTGGATTCCGGCGGTTAACGTTCTGTATATGTTGTTCATGTCGAGATCCACCAAATGCACACATAGCCCTTTCCTCAATCTATTTAAATTGCTTCCATCCAATTCTTTGTTCGAGAGTCCCTGTATGGAGGCTGTGGTCGATTTTAAATGGAGGAAATATGGGCAGAACAAATTTACTCAATATCTAATATACTATTGTGTATGTTTCATAATGTTTTCAGTGTTGGTATGGAAATGGCTCAATGACGAGCGCTCGCAATTGATGAAATTTTACGCAGTTATAATGGTTTTCAGCTATGTATTCTTCCTGCTGTTCGCTTTGAAGAAATTGAAAGTGAATCCGAGAAGTACTTATGCATGGGTCGAGTTATTGACCATCATAGCTGCCGTTGGGGCCAATATTCTCATGTTTCTGGATGCTATTGGTGTTTTAAAGAATGGATCGCAGCCCATCATAATCTATTCTGCGTTTGCTATTCTCAGTCTATGGGTGCAATTTGTAAGTTTTGGTTAATTTTGGCTAATAGTGGAGGTTGGTGACATAATAGAGACTTGACTAATATCTATTAATTGATTTAGATTCTGATGCTTAGAGTCGTAAAAGGTAATGTAATTTCATGTCAGTTGTCTTGATATTCGTAATTATCAATTGACTAATGTCAAATTTTTGTATCAGGCATTGGACATTATGTCAGCACTCCTATATCAATACTTAAACATACTTATCGCTTTCTGATAGTCATGGCTTTATTTATAATTGGGTTTGGCCATACCATGTAAGTGATTACTGTCAGCCGTTTTCGAATCGATAGCATGGACGTCGAAACTGAGTTAATTACGCTTTTATCACAGATTCGTCCTATTGGGCAGTCAAAATAATACTAATGGTAATGGTAATGATAATAATAACAACACTGGAGATAATTCGACTGTACCATCACACTTTGCATGGAATTCTTTTCTCCGTGGCACGAATGATGTAACTAATTCTACTGACAATAGCAGTAACAATAGTAGTGCCACGGGAGACAGCACATTCAACAACATAGCTAATTCTGTGGTAGCTGTCTTCTTCTGGACTAGTGGCACCTCTCCCTTGGCACAGGAAAACTTTCTCGCGCTTACAGTGATATTGATAATGGGCAGCTTGATACTAGTCACAATGATGCAGAATATACTTATAGCTTTAATGACGTAAGTTGTAATTTATACGTTTTGCCAACCAAACATCCATGTATGAGCCTTTTCTTTACCTGTGGTCTTACACAATCTGTAGAGCGGTTGTCGAACTCGTGAAAGAAGATGAAAAGAATATGATACTGGTATTAAGGGCTGAATATCTAATTGTAGTTGAAGAAATGCTTCTCAGTGCAAAAGAGCACAACAATAGGGAATGGTTCCCAAAGCACATATATTATTATTCTAATACAGATTTAGTTAAAAAATGGCAGAAAAAGGTTATAGTAAAGACAAGTGTCGAGGATAGAATGTTCAAACTAGAAAATAAGATTCAAGAGATTCACGAAAAGTTGGCAGCAATTCTCGACGCTTTAAAAACAAATCCATAGATCTAATAGTAAATGAATACCAAAAAAAAAAAAGACGAACATTGGTCGACTTGTAAAATAGTATAAAAAATTAGATTGGATTCTAGAAATAAACAAAACAAGAACTTTTACGCTTGAGAATGCCGCCTGTTTTTGTATATTACCAGTTTTGCAATGGTGTGATTGGTATACAAGCTATTCTACAAGCACAAGGCCGCCAAGGAGGAGTGTCAATAAAGATGTAGGGGGACATGTTGAAACAACTATGCTGCATGCAACAGCGATGGGGGTTGAACCTTAATTTATATTTATTGGAAAATTGTAAAATTCCCATCATCTATGGATTCTATTAATATGATCAAACACAATAACTTATCTCTTAAATCACCCGATACTTATCCGTCTCGTACTTCAACTTCAAAAACACCGTTGGAGATATGATCTGGTAAAATAAAAGTGCCCTTTAGTTTAATCATTCTATAAAGATGCATTGTTATATAATAAACAACACAACAGTGAGTACAATTTACCATTAACATCATTAATATCATTAATATCATACGGGGTAGACATCGGTATTTCCATACCATTCGTATCTGTAACGATAAGAATCTGTAAATATACTGTCTTAGATTATCACCACGTAATACAAGGGACTTTCATCTTACCTGAAATACTATAAGCATTTTCTAAAATAGCCAACGTAGTAGGCGAATTCTTAGGCTGGGGCAAATTTGCAAATTCAATCAATCTGCTTGTATAGACAGCTTCTTCATGCAACACTAGTTTCTCTCTTGATTTGCTATCGTCAGACTTGTGTACTTCTGGCTCATTATATATGTTGCTCCAAGCTTCAAGCATTTCGGCAATCTTTTCAGCAGTGGGCCTATTCTCTGGTCTGGCATCGCAACACATTTGGAACAGCTCCACATAAAGAGTAGGCGTCTCCTCTGGTAACTCTAATCTATGCCCATTGCAAATTTGCTCCGCAAGAGATCGATCATGTGCACAGTCGTAGAACGGCGGTTTCCCTGTCGCCACCTCGTACATCAATATGCCAAAACTATATACATCTGCTGCAGGTGTGTGGAGTTCTCCACGTAGGATTTCGGGTGCCATGTATGGAATAACACCATACACTGAATTTATCTCGGGCGGTTCGACAGGAACACATAGACCCAAGTCAGCAATAAGTAATGTAGAATCATAGAGAACGTTTCCACTATGTAAGTTGCCGTGGAACAACCCTGCCTTGTGAATGACCTTCAGATGTTTGGCAAGGTCCTGAAGAAGGTGTAGCCTTGACCATCCTTGAATACAGTCGGTATTGTGTAAATATGCTGCAAGGCTTCCGTGTTTGGCTTGCTGCATTACTATGGCATACTCTCCCGTTTCTGGGTCTGCCGTCAGACCATAGATCTGAACAAGTCCTTTGTACTCTTGGTATAACTTAAAATGCCGTTCTAACTGTTGAAACAAAAAAAAAGTATGAATACCAAGATATATATTATATTAATAATCACAATGCATGCACATCAACAATGATTGACACTTCACCTCGACAACAAAGTCGTCCGAATTCTTATTAGTCCCTTTCAACTTTTTCAATAATACTTGCGATGGCAAGTTCCTCCCAATTCTTTCATCAGTAGACCAAGTCGCCGTATACATACAACTGTAAAACCCTTCACCAGCCCGCTGTATATCAGATAATCTATCTGCTGGTATCCACTCCAAAAAGTTATCCGTCCTTTCGGTAACGTTCCGTTGAGTTCCTGTGACAAACTTGTCCAAAGCAGGACTACCACTCGTACTCTGTTCGTTAGATTGAGGCATTTTACATGCTTCAGTTCTGCACCAAACTGGATCGTTTTTCGGCTGCTTACAAGTCGAACAAAGACCATACATGTTTCGCCGAAGAGTGTAATCGCTGGCGTAGATTATATAGTTTTCGCGCGTCGCAGGGTTCCGGGTGAATCCAAAAATAGACGTGTTGTCCTTCCGTGTTATGCATGGATGGGTTTTGCATAGCTTTGAGAACAGACATGACGCGTATTGTAAGATTAGTGATTTCAAAATGCTTATAGTGTACATCAGTCGCCCTTCTTCTCATTACTTGATCTCGTTTCGCGATCAAACCCTTACGAAAAGTTTTTTATCAAGATTAACATACCTCATCAATAACTTCTTGTCCAAGACTGGGTAACTGATTCAACGTAACCCTTGTTTGTCTCTCTCTGGCCTTGTGCCTGTGATATTGACAGTCTCTTTTTCCATAAACCCACAAACCTCCATACGTGGTATTTCCATATTCATTTTCTAACAACTGCGTGAATTCTAAATGCTGAAAGGGTATCCACTCGAGGAATGTATCTTCCCAGACAACGGCATTTTTCTGAGTCGATCTTATAAACTCATCCAAAGCATCGCTTCCGGTCGTCCATTCGTCACTCGTGTGAGGTTCGAGACATGTGCGAGCCATGCACCAGACAGGGTCTATTTTTGGGTTTAAACAGGTGGGGCATAAGCCGTAAATTGATTTGAGTTCGTCATAGTCGATATGGATAATAAGGCGATATTCTAGCGTCATGGTGTCGAGTGTGAAGCCGTATATCGTACGATTGTCTTTACGGAGAATAGTTGGGTATTCTTCTGCTAACTTGATTAAAGGTGATGAGATTGTGAGTGAATCGCTAATGTTTTTTTCGAAACGTCAATTATTTCTCATGTCAAATATTTAGTGGTACCTCGTTAAGATAACTATCTGTGATACTCTCCGATACCCCAAGCGTTTTCAATACGACTTTGGAAGGAATTCCTCTTTGTCTCATAACGAAATACCTTGGACCATCCACCCACGTTGCCAAGTAGCTTCCTGTATCTTTATCATCTTGTAATGGTATCACATTCTCTAATCTGTTGAATGGTATCCACTCGAGGAATCTGTCATCAAAGTTCTTGACAATTCTCTGCGATTTCTTAATGAATTTATCGATTGATAGATTGTCACTTGTCCAGTGCGGGCGCGGATGTGGTTTCTTACATGTGTTGGTGCCACACCATACATAGTCTATCTTTGGCTTATTGCATTCTGGACAGGTGCCGTAAATATCTTTCATCTGGTTGTCCGGAACCATGTTGATAATGGGATTATGGATATGTCGTGACACACTTCTATATACGTTGATAGCGTAGACAATGAATACTCTATTTTATATAAATGCTTCTCGTTTTATCGAATACTTTTTGAATGTTTTTTATTTTTATTACAGCTGACAATTAAATAATGTTTGCCCAGATGAATGCTCCAAGTCTTACTTTAATTTTTTCTCTATTTATTCTCCTGTATTGTCATACTATCCTTGCAGATCTCCCACTACTCCACAGCAACAAAGAATCGATCTCAATTCATCCTCTCTCCCCCTTAATACACTAAAATCAATATTCAATTTCTATTGTGAAGAAATTATCAACTGAACGGACAGTGACACGACATAGAAATTCAGCCGTTCTCGACTAGATTGGGCTTAGTTTTACCAAAAGAGCATGTGACAAGTAGATGCGGAGATGGTGTTACCCGTGAATGCATGTGCCATAATAATAATAATAATAATAATAATAATAATAATAACGTCTTCTCGTTTCCCGTGTATTAAAAAATCGAGCACTTCTGCAAACAAATTGGCCGATTATATAAAATGAGCAATAAACCATCAATCACATTTCCTATTCTCAAGCAACCAAATGCAAAGTCATGGAAAGTGAAGGTTTTCCTTCGATTTTGAGGGAAGAGTGGTTTTGAAATCTACCAGTTGCAATTCATCGTTTAGACTTGCTCTTCTTTTCCGCTCTTCCAACAGTCTCTTAATAATTTTAATTATGAGGATTATTGTCGCTCCGCGAGATTGCGGAATTTGCATCACAACAAAATACTGGTCCAAACCGGATCTCTGTTAATATTGGCCCAGTGAACATAACGCCACACATATCTTCAGGGGGTAAACGTCTCCAATATTTATTTGGATCGAATCTCGCTCCAAGCCGAATGTATACATATTTCAGCTTGCAACACAACGTCTGCTGGAACATATTTATTCAATTGTTAGTCTCAATCGTTCTGATAAATATAAAACAGTAATGTTCAATCTCTTGACCAATATACATTGACATGTTCAAGAGCTGATTTATGGGTAATGGATTTGACTGTTGAGATGTCCGCCGACTCCGATGTTGGCATATTATTTTCGGAGACAGATCGGCCATTCCCATTCATAGGAAAAAATCGACAAGTTCAATATCTTCGATCAAGAAAGGAACCAATCAGTTTAATTCACGTGATTACTACGCCTAGTATTAGGAAGTTGAAGGATTGAGTAAATGATGAATGCTGAGAGATCTTGGACTAATGCATAGAAACATATTGAATCATAAAATAGACGATGTTGACCTGATATTAATGTTAATACTATATAATATCAGAAAGCCTGTTCATTGACAAATATTTTATTAATAAACATGATCCCACTTAGGTACTCTGATTTACTCTTCTGTCTCAATATCGATATATTACATATACTAATTTGCAAATGCTTCTTAATTACAATCTCAGTTCCAAAAAGATGACTTCATATTCTTCTCCCTCCCAGTGGTAGGAAGAGCATCTTGTTGCTAATGATGATATGGATGTGGGTCGAGCTTTATAAAAACGTTAATTCCTCAACCGGCCCTCAGAGGCGTATATCCAACCCATCGAATACTTGTAGTTTTGACCCAATCGCTGGATCACCTTCCCGTGTCGTTACGATCGTCTTTTTCAACCCTTTACGATCGTCCTTTTCAACCCCCCATAAAAATAGAGTTGCCCGTTTTGTTGCTTCTTCCAGGTATTCGAAGTCTCGGGGCCGGATACTTGGCAGGGATTTGAATGGTATCAGCATCGGAAACGTCGAAATAGGTTTCCAAACGAAGTGATAAAAGGCGACCTCCAGGTCGGTCGTTTTCGTGATTGAGAACGCCAAATGAGCTGACGTCCTTCACAGTTGTCAGATCCCAAAAGGCGACCTCCAGGTTGATCGTTTTCGTGATTGAGGACGCCAAATGAGCTGACGTCCTTCACAGTTGTCAGATCCCAAAAGGCGACCTCCATGTCGGTCGTTTTCGTGATTGAGGACGCCAAATGAGCTGACGTCCTTCACAGATGTCAGATCCCAAAAGGATGGGATAGAAATTAATCCCTTTTTTCAACTTACGACATATTGCTTGTTGTTGATAGAAAAGAGAAGAGAGATAATATATAGAGGAGATTGAATAGAGAATCGATAGAAGATGATGCAATTATGCATTAGGAATGTAGAAATATTAGCTTCGACCTCCAGGTTGGTCATTTTCGGGGATGAAGGTTCCATTGATGTGAATGTCGGTTGACTGTTGAAGAGTAGTAGTGGTTGTTGTTGCTTGAGGGTTTGTATTGATGGCTATTGCTTTAATTAGATCAATTGTTAGCTCTTGCCTAATCCAAGTGGAAGGTAGGGAGGCAGTCTCTGTTTATATAACCAGTTGGCCGAATAGTTGTGTGTTGGGTTATTATTATCTCCTCATCAATAGTCAGGTGATGTGATAACAAATACAAATGACATAGTAACACGACGTGTAACTTAGGATTTCACCAACGAGAATAAGTGATTCCAGTTCCTATTACTATGTTCGAACGATTACTTATTCGGAATGTCGCGAGATTAACATGATAAACGTGATCGGGTATAACTTATTAAAGGGAACCGAACGTAATTTAGTAATTGATACCTCCGTGTTTTTGGCCATTATTAGTTGCTTTAGTTAAGCATACCCTCCATACGCTTATATACGAGCGAGGTAAAGGTAATCTTGACATACATTAACAAGCTAAGTAATTAGGCGCTACAGGATCGACAGAATCCTTCCTTGGGAATGACCAAGGCCAAGCGTGTGCAATCTAGAAACGTAGTCAGCAAGAGCGTAAATGCGCTTGAGCTAGTTAGTAAACCCTAATACAGGCATTAACTGGAGAAGAGAATTAACATACCAGTAGGAGGGAAGGTTCGAATAGGAGCTAATTCTCAAAATGTCGAATATTATCACTCTCCTGGATATATGCTGGCACGACAAGTATACCATATGAATCCAATCTTCTGCTTTAATGCTGACTAGCTGTCTGCGAAATTATGAATATCATCCAATTAGCAAATTTTATTAGTAAAGTATGATAATTTGTTAAACTTTTTTTTATTGACCACAGACCACATTCTTGGTACACTCTTGAAGTTAAATTATAAATTTTTTTAGGTAAAAGACAAATTGCCGTATATCTTTGGCCAAGATTTTGACTAGTGTCAAATTTTATAACATACCTATACAAGATTATACTCTAAAACGACCCCAGTAGATCCCCAGTTGGTAATGCGGATAAAATTTCTACTTTCTTCATAGTACTAGTACTAAATTGATATCCAATTAGAAAATGTCAAGCTCATTGAAGTCGATGAATGTGTTGTAATTCACGCTTTACCCATTTCCTCCATATAGATCAAAACAAACGTGGTTAATGTCCTGTTTATCACACTACTGGCATCACAATTTTACGACTGTAGGTTTCCATAAATGTTCATCATCAGATCCAACATCTGATTCTCTATTTCCTCATCATTATCATCAACTTCTTCATCTTCTCCTTCATCAACTTCTTCTCTGTGCTGAAAAGCATTATTACCATTGCCTTCATAGTCATCACTTGGCTCTTGCTTTATGTCAACATCTACAAATTGCATTGCTTCTGAATAAGAACTTTTAACAATAGCAGTAGCATACACCATAAATATAATTAAATTGTCATTTTGAAATACCCTCATCCATCATATCTTTGTCTTCATCTTCCGACTCGTTCTCTAATCCACGAAGAAGACACATTGCTTCAGCTATTTCGATATCTTGAGCCTGTAAATTTGATACCCATGTTAGCCTCCCCTCAATTAGCTAATCATTGAACAATGGCCCTTACCACCCCATCTTTTGCATGCCCTTGCTTAACGACAGCACTCTGTTCTTCCGCAGGTTCCCCCGTAGCGTTCAGCATTTGCACCAGCACGGTCTCTTCAGTACGTAGAGCATCTAACTGTGATTTGAATTTATTTATTAACTGTACTAGTTCCTGCTCTTCTTGTATCAGAACATTTTTTATAATGTCCCAGGGATTGATTAACATCGCAAAACTGGTAATGTAATGTATTGTTAACCTCTAACGTAAAATTATAAATAGCTGCGCCAGTATACTAAAAAGCCGCAGCTCAGGGGTATGTTCAAAATAACAAAGTGACAATAATAGATTGTCTAAATAAATTATGTAATCGTTAAAAACCTTCGAAAGTTTCACCTACTTAAAAAATTAAGTAAAATAAAAGAAATTGACAGTAGCAGTTGAAGACAATAAATTACATCCCTTCAATCTCTGATTTATTAAGCGTTGAAGCAATTGACGAGCGAGACCACCGATTTTCGGGAAAATGTTGATCATACAGATTACGTCATAGTAAATATCGCGCGAGATTGTCGGGTTTACATAATCGTAAATATCGGTAACGCGCACTGTAGATCCTACAGTAAGCAGAAAGGACTTTATTTCCAAATCGCTTTAATATTATTAACCAACACATAATAAGTCACATTGCAGTCTCAGGATTCGAACAAACTGAAATAATTACGCTAAAGCAAACTGGTCTTGACATTTCCAGAATCCAAGTTCCGTGATGGTCCGCAAAGCGTTTGGAGAAAGGCAGAGCTTTGTTCCCACGATTAAACATGGAGGCGGGGGGGGCGTAATGGTATGGGGATAATTGGATCAGTGGGATTATTTAATAATAACAAAATAACGCTCGATTCGCAGAGCAAAGGTGTTACCGCTTGAATAAATCAAAACAAATTGGCTATCCCAATCGCCTGACCTTAATCCCCATGTGATGAATTAGAAAGGCGCAAATGAAAGGCATTGCCAAAAACCGAAGAGGTGATTTATTGTAGAAAACGGGAGTAAGTCTCAAAATCTGCATATTAACATGATAAAGGTCATATTGAAAAGGATGCAAGCAGCGAAATAGAGCCAATAAATATAATAATAATATTAATGCAGAAACTAAAATTTTATGCCCAATTATTATGTACGTTTTCAAGTACATTAATCACATAACTGTTCAGAGACTTTTTGCTGACTCACTGCATGTAATTGCCATTTAAAATTGATTCTCGTCTTGGTTGACGCGCTCCATGACATGACAAATTCGGTTAATTATGCCTCAGCCAAAAAAACGCTCCTCCTGCGTCCATATTGTAAGCCAATTTTTGTTAGATCTGGGCCTTTATAGATTATCTGGGAATATTATAGCCAATAAAGTCTAGTAGAACTTTTTGTCGAATGATAATACCATTTCCCTTTCGGTATATATACACACCTCCTGCCTCCCGTCTTTCTTAGCGTAAGGCAAATTGTTGTCCCCCATCTAAACCTTACTTCCTGAGTTGTCGTATTATTTTCTGGGTAGTTATGATTTCGACTATTACTATCTCTAATTTGCTCTGCTATTGACATTAAATTAAAATACTTGATATTAAACTTTACTTTTACACCGTATCTGTCTAACTCATTTCTAGACATAATAAAAGATACAATCTCGAGTGTGTGTGTCAAACTGCATGAACGTCAACAGGAAACATCAATATCAGGTATTTAAAAAGTATAATATGGAGTCCTCTTTTGCACTACTCTTCAATTTTAGTCATTCCCTTTTTGTCTCGACTTGGTACGAGTATCACTTTTATTAGAAACACATTAGCCAAACAAACGCCAAACCTGTTCCTTAAATTAATTATTAGACAACCCTAATATTAATATTATTAATATGTGGCGTTTTACCAAGTTTAACATAACTCGTATATTTTCTCTATTACATAGCAGACTCTGTGCCACAAATTAGTATCCCATTGTCGCTTCAGAGAACGTTTTAACTCCTGTTGCTAGATGGGGCGATTAGTATTTGAATTGCTCTTAGCGCTGCTAATTACAGGGCTATCTCGATTTAGTACAATCAAATACAAATACCCAACCCCGGCACATGACGCAAATCAATGTTCAGGCTACAGACTGACGTCAATATCCCCCACTGATCATGGTTTAAATGGGTCGCTCGTACTCGCCGGTAATTCATGCAATGTTTATGGAAACGACATTTCCAATCTTGCATTAGAAGTGACGTATGAAACCGACGACATACTGCACGTCAAAATATACGACGTTGAGGAACGTCAATTCCAAGTTCCCGATTACGTACTACCACGAAAGCGCTTCCAGGGAGCAAAAAATCCAGCATACGAATTCAGTTATACAGACAACACGTTCGGTTTTGTGGTAAAGAGGAAAAATAATGGGGAGGTGCTGTTCAATAGCACAGGTGTGCAAATGGTGTTCGAAGATCAGTTTGTCAAATTTGGCAGTCAAGTCCATGACATTATGAATGTTTATGGGTTGGGTGAGAATATAGACAATTTCCTCAGACCACGTAACAGCGTTTCTACTTTATGGTAATAATAATAATAATAATGACTATTAGAATGCTTGTCTTGTATTTTGAGAGCATTTAAATATTGAGTATTATGTTCTCTCTCACAATTCTTGCAGGACACGTGACATAGGCTCTCCATTACGTGAAAACATTTATGGCGTTCATCCATTCTATCTCGATTTGCGCCGTTCAGGTCGCTCTCATGGTGTTTTCCTACGTAATAGCCATGGAATGGACGTATTTCTCTCGTCAACGTCAAACACATCCGAGATCGAGTATCGCGCTCTGGGTGGTGTTATTGATCTGTACTTTATTCTTGGTGGTGAAGATGGGAGTCCAAAGACAGTTATAGAACAGTATACCGATATAATTGGTAAGCCACACATGCCTAATTATTGGGCGTTAGGATGGCATCAATGTCGGTGGGGATACAAAACGATTGAAATGGTTAAGGAAGTCGTAGAGAACTACAAAAAGGCCGAAATACCACTCGAGGTTATGTGGACTGACATCGACTATATGGATCAATACAGAGACTTTACGTTTCATCCCATCAACTTTCCCTTATCCAAAGTGCAATCATTCCTTGCAGAACTTCATTCTCAAAATCAAAAGCACGTTCTTATTGTTGATCCAGCCATCTATAATGGTGATGATTACGCCCCGTATAAAGAAGGTGCCGACTTGGACGTGTTTATCAAGAACCGTGATGGATCTATATACTACGGTCGTGTATGGCCTGGATATACGGCGTTTCCTGATTGGTTTGCTCCGAATACTCAGTCATGGTGGACTAGACAATTTCAGAGATTCTTGAAGGATGTTCCGGTAGACGGAATATGGATCGATATGAACGAGCCAGCGTCGTTCTGCTTTGGTTCGTGTGGAACTGGTCATCCGCCTGGCGAGCCTCCGGGGGATTCACCAGGTGACCCCGTGTTTGGCCCTGGTGTACCCGACTATAATTTACTTAATCCACCGTATAGTATTCGTAATGGATCTCCATACTTGTCTAGTAAGACAGTGGCTACCAACGCAACACATTGGAACAACTACACCGAATATCAGACGCATAATCTATATGGACATATGGAAGGGATAGCAACATACAAGACACTAATTACTATCAATCCGAAAACAAGGCCATTTATCCTGAGTAGATCGACGTTCCCCGGGTCGGGAGCATATGTGGGACATTGGTCAGGAGACAACTGGGCATCATGGCCGTACTTGTATTATTCTATTCCGGGCATACTGAACTTCCAGATGTATGGTATTCCATACGTTGGGGCCGATGTATGTGGATTCAATGAAAGTACAGATGAAGAGTTATGTAATAGATGGCATTCGCTCGGTGCATTCTATCCTTTTGCCAGAAATCACAACGCGCATAATACAATAGCACAGGAACCATACGTGTGGAAATCAGTCACCGAAGCCACAAAAAAAGCATTGCATGTGAGATACACCCTTCTTCCATACTATTACACTCTATTCGCTGTTGCCCATGAGAAGGGTACGCCTGTGTGGAGAGCACTAATGTTTGAATTCACTGATGATTACGAGACATGGAACATTGATAAACAATTTATGATTGGGCCAGCCGTATTAGTGACTCCCGTTCTTGAGGCTGGACATGTGGATGTGGAAGGATATTTCCCAAAAGGAATCTGGTATGATTGGTATACTCATGATCCTATTTATGGGGCGAACTGGACAAAAGTCGATGCTCCACTAGGTCATATTCCCGTTCATATTCGTGGTGGGAGTATAATATTGACTCAGCGTCCTGCTTATACTACTACCGAATCAAGGGAGCAACCGTTTGAATTGATAGTTGCCTTGGATGAGACTGGTCATGCAAGTGGGGAAGCTTATCTTGATGACGGTGTATCGTTAGAACCAGTCGAGTCATTACGGATAAGTTTTCGTATTTGTGACAAATGGCAAGTAGTAATGACATCAGTTGGATCATACAAACCTAATGCTAAACTAGAGAAATTAATTATTATCGGCGTTGGATTGGATTTAGTTATTGATGACGTTCATGTTGATATGGACAAGAATGCAATTATTACCTTTTAGAGAAAATAAACAACATAATTATTTGATAGGGGTTAAAATAGCTTTATTGTAGAGTTGCTGATAATAGTAGAAGATGTTCCTTCTTAACAATTTTCATATTACCAGCGAACATGTCTAAGTGTAGGAAAATGATACATATTAAGAGACGCGATCAGGCAATTTATGAGAATGACAGTCTCTCGCGTATCCAATGAGCTTCCCATTTGGAAACGATACTTGTCGCGCCAGTATGTCTTGCAGAATAATGATATCGCGTTCGGACGTTTCTTCCTACCGATAATTATAACTTTAATTCTCTTCTTCAATTACCGCCTGTTGTAAGCCACCTATAATTATGCGCTTGCTGCCCGTATTTCTGCATACTTTTGGCCTCCTAATCATTTACAGGGAGAATTCTCGATATTTTCCCCGATTTGTATGCGAATCGAGGGTTTATCAGATGTCCAAAAACACTTGTGAAACGCTAGGACGTTCGTTAATTGGGATTGTACAGCACGCATAATAAAAAACAAGCTTATAAATTCCCCCATTTTACTTTGCATCAAACATTAAAATAACAATAATACTTCAAGTTCTTTGATTAAATTATCATAATCCAAGCCGTTCGCTTCTTGATAGATTTTTTGCCAAAAATATGATTTACCATGAGAGTCAACACATTTTTTGCCCGTGATTTGAAGTCATAAGTAAGATTGCCTTTGAAGATAGTTTACAACGACAACGGTCATGAATATTGGTAGATTTTTACTGTCTAACGATTCGCCCTCTATATTTATTTTTATTATCACTTATTTCGTAATTAGGAAACAGTTAGGGATTTAGTTCGATAAGTCGTGACCGACTTATTTAATAGTAAGCTTAATGTAAAAAACGTGCAATTACAATAGATGATTGTTTTAGTGAAGACAAACAATATAATTTAGCTAATTCTAATTTACAGTGTGTTACAAAAGTCTTTGGACAATCAATAAATTAAAAGTCCTTCCGATTCTGTGTGAACATGGCTGACCAATTCATGTTGATATCACATTTCTGAAGCTAATAAGGCGCTTGGTAAGAAGTAGCAGCTCCAAAAACATGATTCTAGACATACAAGCAAATAGCCAAAGAATTCCTTTATCGACTATTATAGACTACCCTCTAACAGTCTGGATATAAACCCTAGTGAAAATTATGGCCATTGTCAAGGGAAGAGTGGGGAAACAACGACCAAGAAATATTGCAGGATTAGAACAGTTTGTGATATATAATATTCCGCTAAATGTTATAAATTAATTTAATTGAGTCAATTAAGGGATGCTGTCAGCTTACCTTAACCTGTTGATAAATACTTGATTAACTTTTTAATAAAATTGTCTAGTTTTTTGCTTTCAAACGAGTATTTAGTTGTCTGATATAACGCAGCTGTGTCGAAAATATCTGTATCCAAAGACTTTTGTAACACACTGTAGATAATTGGATTTGCTCGATCGAGGCATTTTTGAGAAAAAATAAACGTACGATGGGATTACAATGCAAGCCGGTCAAATAATCAATTGATTAACCTTAAATGGAAATAATTGCAAATTTATAAGTTCGATCGATAAAATCATTTGAAAAATCGGGTCTTGCTCAAGACGATCGAATTACTGGAAAGACAAATTATTATTATAGAAAGTCGTACTTTACAATGGTTATTACACAAAAGAGCTTTTATTCGGGCTTAGCCTGGTCATTTTCATAAATGAAACTAACGTACGGTACGCTTGCGTACGGATCGTTGTATGCGCGTTCATTAATACATTTCGGCGTTTGTGGCCCTATCTACAAAATTGAGGGTCGAAAGTTTCAAAAAACAGTTGGTAGATACCGTGCGACATCTTGTGATGCTGTTATGTTTAAATAAGACATTGAAGTCGTTGATAGCATTCCTAGCCGGCTGTTTCCAGACGGTAAACATCGATAGCAACTAGAGTATAGAACGAAAGGAAGAAAAATCTAGAGTCATCTGATCGAACGTTCCTTACCTGAAGCGATACTTATTTGACTGGCAAGTGTGACAGAGAAAAAAGAACGAAGTTAAGCCATATTATTGATTATTCTTATATTTCTTATATGTAAACATACCGCACAACATCTTTTCAGATAAGTGAATCTCTCGTTATAACTGTCACCTGGGATTGTTCAATACAAGGTCTAAAAAATTTCTAAGATGTGATTTATTGGTGAAAAATACGCGCATGTCGGTCCTTTCTGTTGTTGGAAAACCCTCTTCGCCGAGACTCTCACCGAGTCGGCTAATCTCTTGACAAATAGCAATTACTAGTTTATTGCCTGTAGTTGAGCTAGTTGAGCTAGTTGAGCTGGACATTTGGTTCACAAGTTGTCCGAATAAGAAGTTTTTTGGTTTTTTTTTTTTTTTTGCAGAAAGCTACAAAAGATAATTGGCCCATCCTCCCATTTTACCTAGTATTCTACATTTTACCTCCATTACGTCACAATCTGATTAAAAATTCCATTAATATGTGTAACATTTGTTGGCGCTAATGCTAATCAGTCTATCACAGTTTTGCGGTGAACGAGTATTTATAAATGTAAGCTACCCCCATATTAATAGAGTCACGACCAAATGTAAAATTTAATGCCACAAATTGACAAAATGGGAAGATTTACTGTATCGTTGCACAAAAACACTAATTTTTAAGTACTTATCGTTAGTTAATAAGGAATGATAAAAAAGTTGCTTGAATAGTATGTTTTTCTTGCCGTTCTTAATATTTTCTATGACAAGATATAACCACTTGGCAGTTTTATTTACCCTATAAACTTTATAGTCACCACCCTGAATGTACAGGTATATTGTGTTTATATACTCACGATTCGTACGTTCAATTGTTAATCACACTGTAGTTGTAATTCTGCCTCTATCGATGGGATTAATTTCGATAGTCCGGGGGATAATTGTAAACGCGTTTATTATTAGAATAATTAACAATCGTATTCAGCCAATTCCTAGATTCGATGGACAAGATCAAATGTGAGAAAGGAGAGGGAGAGTGGGAGGGAAGGGGAGAAACACTAATCACTGAAAGTATTCGATCCATCGTATCCAAATAGCCTGATATTCGTGAACTGCATATCCACCCCAATCGTATAAACCAAATCGCATAATAGTCGTATGGTATGTAGAATCTTCGAAATCTGCGTAGGCACTGAATCATCATCCCAATCAGTATACTCTTCGAGCTCAGTGCGATCAATAGACAATTATTTTTACAAAAATAGTTACACTAAAGAGCTTTTATTCGAGTTACTAGAGTGTAGAACGAAAAGAAGAAAAATCTAGACCATCGACGATCAAACGACGATTGCGTCTTAATAATAATAAGTAAAGGAACGGTCGATTAAAATTTATATGACAGACGAAAAAAGAACAAAGTTTAAGCCATATTATTGATTATTCTTATACTTATATATGATAACATACTGTGCAACAATTCTTTCAGGTAATCGAATCTCTCATCATAGCTGTCATCTGGGATTGTGCCGAGAACGTTCAATACAAGGTCTAAAAACCTTGTATAATGCGATTTATTGGTGAAAAATAGGCGCAAAGCGGTCCTGTCTGTTATCGGAAAACCCTCTTCGCCGAGATGAGCAGCGAGTCGGCTAATCTCTCGAAAAACATCAATTGCTTTTTCAATGCCTGACATTTGGTATATACAAAATCTCACAAGTTGTCCGAATAAGCAGTGATTTTTTTTTTTTTTTGACAAAAAGGCAGAGAACTAGAGATTTGATTCATTGTAGTTTTATCATCTGTCACACCAAATCATTACAAGTCATGTGATAGATGTGAAAAGTCTTTATTAATGCAACAAAAAAAAAAAAAAAAAAAAAAAAAAGAAGAAGAAGAAGAAGAAGAAGAAAAGCAAATGATGATTGGCCACTATATGATGAGAAATATACAGTTAATTTTCATGCTTCATTTTTGTCAAGAGATGCTCCCAGGTATGATATCTCTGATCTGGACTTAATATAATTCTAATACCTTATCAAGTGGGATCCTGGTTTCTTCAAATTTATCACAAAAGTACACAATACTTTTTATTTGCTTGACTATTGTAATTTACTTGAACTTAACACAAGCCCTGTAGCTTGACAAAATGTACTGTCAATGTCGATAATATGATTACTTCCTGATTGCATTCATTTATGTTCATGATCTCAAAGGAAATCATATATTGAGGGAGGTTTCATAAAATATTTGATCTACTGATATGCAAACAATCAGGTTATAATTAGAGAATGTTGCAGATGTGTCTGTTGTTGCTTAAGCTTCATCTATAGCTTGCTAGCTATTGAAGCATGTTTACCCCCATCTTTATTAACTTAAGAAATAATCAAACAGTTACAAGTGTTACAGGTAATATAATTATACTGTGATGCTACGATGTTAACGGTGACGTATTCTCTCACGGTGCGGGTAACACCAACGCAACTGCGGAAATAGCAGACGTACGTACACGAGACGCAGCGTCAGTACAGACAATAGTAATAATAGAGCAGCGTTGCAGTTAATAACATATACTGATAGCAACAGTTTAGGTAATTAGTAATCGCTGCTAAAAATAGATCAATTAGTTCACTCGAAAGATATATAAGCAGTATAAATGCGATACTCGTTTATTAACAATAATATAAAAAGAACTGAATGAATCAAAGCTACTGAACACACTATGCGAACACACCGACTCTACATTATTGATATCATATTCTCCGAATTGGTCGGTATAGCTGAGAAATCGCTAATCCCTATATCGGCAAAGGATAATTACCTGTCCCGTGGTTATCCGAGACGATAATTAACAGAAACGCGTTTATTTTTATTAATACACCGTACCCAAATCAATAGACCACCGAATTAATCACACGGTATATAATACTTAAGGATCGTAAGTGTAAAGCCTTGAAGTTCGCGCTCCGTCGAAGATAGCTAAATACCCAGTGTCGCTTATTACCTGCTATCCGTGACAACAATACCATCTAGGACTGGGGAATTGGCTATTAAAAGATTGTTTCTATAATTGGCTGTTGTTTTTAAGTTCTGACCAGTCTTGGTCTTGCATCAAAAAAGCATATTTGATGATGCTTGCTATTTGTACAATTGCAGTTCCAGTTGATTCCGCCCATCCTGGGTTTTTATTTCAACAAAACATAGTGGTATAGGTTTTTCTTTGTTGATAACGTATGACGTTCAAATAGCTTTAAGCTGACTCTAGAGCAAAGATACGCCCTTTGTAAATGTTAATTACCTGTTTGGCGAAATTGTGGCAAGAAAAACACAATTGTTATTCTGCAATATATTTTTAATTTGTTTCATAGTCTGATCTATTGCTCTTACTTAAAAGACATGGCATGTTCAATGAGCAAAATGCTTGCTTCAAAAGTATCAAGAATGTTTGGCCCGGGGTAGAAAAGGGAGGCTTAAGTATACTCGGGAGACTTATTTTTCTCACCCAAAGAAATCTCCCCATAGCACATGACTTAAACACAATTTATAATTACTGTGGCTTATTTCTGTATTAAGTGTATCTAAGTTAGAAAACATAAAATAAAATAGAGTCATGACACAAGAAGCGCACAATGTAATCGAGTCATAACTTTGTAGCTAAATTCAATAGACGCGATTATTGTCATAAAAAGTTTTTGTCGTTGTAGTGCAGTGTTAAGGTGTTGAATGTGTCAATAATATGTTTAAGACTCATAATGAAATATTATATATTCATCGTCGACACATAAGTAGTTCCAATTAACGAATCGAAGTAATGTCGCCCTTTTTAATTATACTCCTTCGATAAGGAACTATGTCAGTTGTTCTGGTAAAGTTTCTACCCTTGTTCGTAAGTTGTTGGCGCAGGTGTATCGTTGAAGAAGTCGTCCTATCAGCTATCTTCCCCCGTCAGATTTGGCAATCGAGGTTGCTAAAATTAGCGATCACTGTAGAGATAATCTCCAATGTAGGGAAGGTACCATAAATAATAATCATTGGGGATTAACAGACACTTTCAGTAATCGTGCTATTTATATTATTGTTTCTACTGCAACCTTATTTTATACATGCTTAATTAAATCACTCTAAAGGAAGATGACTCAAAATTAACATCCTAAACGATAGGGTGTTTTATTTTAGTAATTTAGCTTACTACTGTAGTCTAGAGTAATAAGTATATTCAGTGATAGTGAATAACTGTATATTAATGTACGTAACCACGCTCGACATTAGCTGACGCCTTAAATGAAGCGGGTATGTTAGCGAGACCGTGTTTTGAGAATGTCTCCGGTCGATAATAATCACCTCCCAGGACCCAATTATCATCCAACGAATGTCTCATAACTTTACTAATCAACAATAATGGTAAACAATATTACAGTATTAGCTACAGTACTTTGCCTATCCACATCAGCTCGATATGGTATGGTCAATTGCATGGTATTTTATATTTCCGACCGCCTAGTCAATAACGGCGGCATAGTAATAGTAATAGATTATCGGCGTCTAAACTGACAATTATTTTTCAGCCAACATCATAGAGTTATCATTAGCACTTTTTCACGTGATAACAAGCCAAGAGTTTAAACATTTATTGTCATCATGTCATAATCGCAGATTTAACGCCAGATATGAATATCATGTTCATAATAAATATTATAGCACCATTCAAATAACCAACGCCACATCACATGATGTGATACATTAATATCGAAGTATGATATAGAAAGCATGGACAATACCTGCAAACAGAAGGGAAACGATACGAGTTAGAGATAACGTTCGGACAAGAAACCGTATGCTTACAAATTGTTATCATCGTAGAATGCCTACCCGGTATGTATCCCAAGATCGTTAAAGCAATGTTTATCAACAAGTCGATAGTACATCCAACTTCCAAAAGCACACCTAATGGTGGGAAGATCACGGCAAAGATAAATTTGAAGATGTCAGAGCATGTAAGAGCCATGGCTTATTTTCGAGTTAGGTTATTGAAGTAGTTTGGGATGAGTGGTTGACGTTTCTTGAAGGGCAGTTGATATTTTTTAGTGCTTTTCACTCTGCGAGTTGCAGAAGTTAGATGCAAAGCCTCCTCCTTTATATACATCTGTCCGCCTATCTATGACATTTTCTGATATCATCCGATAATCTCACTAACATCAAAATGGGGGGTTTTTTGGGTTACCCGGATATATCGATAACCTCCAAATTAGGAAGTATCTTGACGCCAATGTAAGAACAAGCAACTTATTGTAATGACTAAGTAAAGAAAGCAACAGTGGAATAAACAAACCCATATCATTCGCTATATCACCATAGTAAACACAATAACAAGTTCTAAAATTTGACAAATCCCCATCGACATCATATCCACGGGCCCTTTATCGTGTTGTGTAAGAGTGTTTAACCAATTTAAAGATTGCTACACGGGGTACAATATTCTGTGTCGCTCAATGTAATTCGCTCGTATATTTGAACAGTCGCTAATATTGGTACAGGTCTGGCTAAACCCTTCCCACTCATGACCTAAGAAGTAACACACAAGTTGTCATAATGCAGCAACAATCCAAATGGCGCAATAAGAAAGTTCGCATTATTGCATAATAAGAAGAAGTAAACCTTGTATTAACAGAAAAAAATTTTACTTGTCTGAACTTGTTGGCGCATCTGGTTATAAATAGTAACAAGTAATAGTAACAGTAATAGTAATATAAAGTAACCCCATAAAAACATCTACAATCACGGGTCTATAAGCCACACCGTTAATTGTGGCTATGTTAACATGTGTGTTGCATCATCTCTGTGTTCACTTTCACATTCTTGATGTGAATTTTAGTCGACTCATCAGATCAAAGAGATTTGTAATGCCCCTCGTGTAATGATTTGGTTATTAATATTGATTTGAGTAATATTAAATTCAAAGCAACAAGTATGAAATATTATGTCCATGGGAAGGAGCGGACGGTCAAGCATCAACGGATTGCCCATTTCAACGAATAGTTATTTAGTTAACAGTATACATTGTGAATATGGTGCTTCTAACACAACTTGCGAAATTCTGGAAAACCAATTTGGCCTGATATATATATAAGCGCAGACGTCAGATGCAGATGACCTTGAGCAAGAATTGTGGCTGACGATGAAGGAGTCGAGTCTCGTGTCACCAGAGAGAATACTCGCACGCCATCGGGACCCTGCATTAGGGAATAGCAGTTTGTGAAACGTAACGAGATGGCAAAATCGATCAAGTCGGTACTTGATCATTCAATTTTGACCCATTATCAATATTTAAATCTCTCGACAAGTCGGCCCACCATGCATGACCGACTTGTCGAGTTTACACTGTATGTTAATTTATTATTTAATTGAAATATTGGGTTTATTGTTGTTTGCTCGTTTGTTTCCAATACAAATCTTCCAAGACTGTTTACTAGTCTTATCTGATAAAATAAGCATAGAGTGACTTTTTTTTTAAAAATGTTTCTACGATTTCTCTAATCAGTTGGTCATCATCTGGAATATCATGCACGATAGCCTCGTCAGGAATAAGCTGATCGATTTACTTGGGCCATCACGCGTTGGATCGTCAATCTCCACTGTTACCGTAGACCATTGATATAGTACTCGGGATATATATCGAAAATTTGATTTGTACTATGTACGGTGAGGGGTGCTTTAAATTCTATTAACGGTGATATCGATATTATTGGACAATTTACCATACATATCAATATTGGTATATCTTGTCTCCGATAACGCGCATGGATGATGAAGTGTGAGAGTATATTCGTACACGAGAAATTAAGCGACCGTCTATGGGAAAATTATAAATGGCTTGAGAGGGCGTGAATACATTTCTAATCAGAAAGTCTTTCAAATGCTGTGGTACGCGGTATTTCTATTACAAAAGACGGGACGGAAAATGGTTAGACTTTTGACTTGGAATGATAAATGCCATTTGTAACATGCGACATATGAAACTGACTCGTACCCGGGTCTAATGTACTACGGCAGTATTAGAAAGAATTTTCACCTTCTAAGACGCAATACTAATTGACAACGACATAACGATAACGGTAATCAACTATAGCACTAGCAAATAATTAACCATGACAGGCATTTATTCAAATTTCGAAAACGAAAATAGTAATAATATAATTAATCAATACAAATATTGACAGTTTGTGTGGGCGGACGAAAAATTATTGCACATGCAAAGTTGCATTTATCACTAGGTTCCAACTTGGACCAAGCCAAACGGTGCATTTAAAAAGTGTGCACTTGGAGAGCTTATAAAGTAAGAGCAGTTTACACGGCTATCTACTAAACGGAAAGTTTTATATTAATATGCACTGTAAATTTAACAGAGAAATTGACGCGATTCTGAGATGATATGCACAGTCTTGATACTAAAATAAGACCGTTAGATAGGCTGATTACGATAATAATAAAGACATTTTCAATAAAATTGTTTCTACACCTCTGTTTCATGAGCACGTTGATAACTACCTTTTAATCGTATCGCGCGATAATTATGTAGCAAACTACTTATCCTAAAAATTTTGTGACGGTAAGCACGTAACAATCTCAGCAAGGATTACAGTGACGACACCACAATAATGTTGTGACGAGATTTAGTTATGACTGTTCTACCGTATCCTGATTAGTCTTAGGCTAATGTCACAGAGAATTACAGGTTTCTGTAATGTAAGACATAATTCATAGTTTATGGTATGATTAGTAGAATACACTCGTTTAGAAACAAGGTTCGTGTTAATATATGAAATATCAGTTGGGAAAACAATGATGTTGACCTTTTTAATCCAGTTGAAAACGGGTTATTTTCCATAATATCCAACTTTTCTTCCGAATATAAACCAATCCAATAAAGACGTACGTGTTGCTAACGTAGAGCTAAAGTTAGAATAATGGAATACATTTTACACCAAGTCACACAGGATAAAATGTACAGGGAGAACCTGAAAGAGCAAACAGGGGAATTCATGAATCAATTTATGCACAAATCATACGTGATGATGCTTGTCACACAAGTTTATGAAACGACGAAAAATAAATTGCCTTTTTTTTGGTCAGCAAATAAAATTCAATCGATTTCATAATGAAAGAAAAAAATTCGAGTCGGAAGTGTTATTATACGTGTATTTATTATATTAGACAAGGTGAAGCAAACATCTCCCAATGGAACAAGATCTGTAATAGCATTTTATTAAACCATGACATCAACAGTAGATCAGCGTACAAACAGCAAACAGGGTTTAGTAGACATGGACAACGTATAAAAATAAATCGCGTTTCATATAGCGTAAATATAACATGGGAAGTCCAATAGTTTAGCCCGACAGTTCCGTATTATTAGTAAAGATAGTCTCTGCAAAGCCTAATAAACAAGAATCAATTCAAAGAAACAAACCCTATTCTACTCACCTTGCCTAAGCGTTTCGGATGTCGAACCCGTTATAGTGGACTAGAAAACATATCGATTATGAAGCTCGTGATATAAACATCTTGTATCGAATTTCAACTGTAACACCTTGGATATCCGTGTGTGATGTAATACAATAAACGTTGAGAATGTGCTCTCTCTCAGTGATTATACTTGAAAACTTCTTATTCAAACGATGGCATTAGTTCCGGGGGTTAATAATCCAGCAATTGACAACTTGGTCCAATCCTCCTTGGAAAGTAGACATGACTTAAGGCTTGAATGGATTCCTTACGAAGAAATCATCGACATAGAGCCAACTCAAATTGACAATGTCTGTTATGCTACTCGCCAATACACACTAGACAATGGTGAAGTGAAAGAAACGATGGTAATGCTGCTATGCCTTGGAAACAGCGGAGAATGTACACAAACACTTGTTAGTGAGTTTGCTAGAATATACTCACTTCCAACACACAAGTATGATGACGATATTAGTCAATTTAGACGGTATTCCATTTGGCTTAGGAGTCGCAACTGGAGGATACACGGATTCACCAATTATAAAGACAACTATTACATGGTTGCTAATAGAGAGTTTTACCACAGTTATTCTCTCTATGGCTTCTGCACTGCATGTGGAATACTCCGATGCAGTCCCGTGTGGTGCATTTGCGGGCATAAACAATTATCCGAAGGATGGACTAGCAACAATAAGCAACTCGATGACTTTATTAAGAAATCTCAATTACAAACAACCTCACCAAATCATGCCTATTTGGAATGGATTCCATACGATTGTATTCGTGATGTGGACGTTGTTGGTTTACCTGCTAGTCGATGTTTAGTTGTTACATTGATTCCACTTGAGATAACAGACAAGACACATGATTTATATTATGCCGAGGTAAACTATTTACTTATGTGTCATGTTTATTGAATAGTTTAAATAATTATTGACTTATCATTATGTATTATTTCCACTAGTTATGTGATAAGCATCCAGATATTCTTACCACGGATGTTTGGTTTACCATCGGGTTTACATATGATGCAAGTAAACAAAAGTATTGTCTCATAAAAGAATTTTTTAGGCATGGATTATGTCTGGCATGTACACAGCAATTAGAACGTAGGATAAATCTATTCTGTTTCAAATGTAAATCCCCAACGCCTCCTGATTGGACTACAGGCAACAAATCCTTGGATTCATTCATTATGAAATCATGGAAGAATACAAAGAATGTATATGATGCATATATACAATGGATAGAATATTCTCAATTGATGAACATACAACAAATGACATCATTACGCCATGGATGCACACATATAGCAGAATGGACAACAAATGAATCGACGAGAGTGATACTCAAAGAGATAGTTGACGAACAGAATGATCAGTTATTTGATTTTCATCAGGTAAATTATTTCATGTGTAAAATTTATTAATGTGTGTATTGTGCATTTAACAATTGTATTTATTATTCAAATAGCTAACTAAGGAATACCCGGAGATATTAACACCTGATAATATTTGGATAATTGGGATCACTAAGGAGCCATCTACTACTACTACTACTACTACTTGGACACACAAAATCATTAGAAAACTGTGCTTAATAAAGGACACACAAAATCAAGAGCCATCTACTCGGAAATATTATTTAGTTTTCTACCACGACATATACTCACTATTGGATAGATTTATACGAATTAACAGAGATGTAAAGTACATACAGTATGGCGACTTTTATGAACTCAAAGAGATCGGATCTGGTGGTTATGGAGTAGTTTATACTGCCAGATATAAAGGCGAGAAAACTGTTGTACTCAAATGGTTTAAGAGTTTTGATGAAATGCCGGAATTATTTATTTCTGAGGTAAGCAATAATGGGTAGTATTAATTAAAGTGATATTTAATTTGACTTCTTATTTATTCAATAGCTCAGAAATCATGCCAAGTGCGTAAACAGCAGTATTTCATTCCTTACAATTTATGGATTCACACAAGACCCAGAAACAAAAGAGTTCATGATTGTTATGCAATATGCTAACAATGGTAGTCTTTTGTCTTATTTGGATCAAAATATTAACAAATTGACATGGAGAATGAAATTAGATCATTTGAAGCATATTGCATATTGTCTTAATGATATCCATCACGTGGGATTAGTGCATTGTGATCTTCATGGCGGAAACATAGTTTTGCATTATGATGATGATGATGATTATGATGATGACATTATGCATGAGACACGACCATTGATATGCGATCTTGGTCTTTTTCAATCAGTGAATTCATGTCAACAAAATTCAACCATTCGAGGCGTTTTACCTTTTATTGCACCGGAAGTCTTCCATACTTGCAAATTTACTCAGGAATCAGATGTGTATTCTTTTGGTATCATTATGTATTTGATTGCTACTGGTGAACCACCTTTTAGAGATAGGCAGTTTGATAGAGATTTAGTATGCAACATTATGGGCGGACTACGACCATTGATGCCTGATTCTGCACCAGAGGAATACAAGGAAATTGCCAAGTGGTGTTGTGATGCTGATCCTGATAAGCGTCCAGATGCATGGACACTTTGGTGGTTGTTTATTAATATTAGGAATCTTGATATAGAGCTGGACAAGGACAATTCTAATGACAGCACATGGAATACCATTTATCATAATGATGTAAAACCCTTGTCACGTCTTGAGAAGGAGGGTAAATATTCTAGTAAGTCCCTACCTACTGGAGATTTGCCTAAACCAAGGAACAGCTATGATATGGATTCAGCTGCAGGTATGAATACAACATGTTGATATCATGAAGTCAATTTACAATATTAACATTGTCCATTATCTTATAATTTAGTGACTCATAATATTGAATAAGCTTGTCATTCAAGGGTTTACTCCTATATCATTTATGTCTATACAGACTGTTGACAAAGAATTATTCTACATATGTGAATTGGCCTATACTATTTTTACCATTTATTTCGTCTAATTACTTTCGACTTGATTACTACTCTTAGTCGTAGTCTTATCTTCTCAAAACAATATGTAAATACAAAACTATTTTTCATGCCTAAGCATGACGTATTACTCCTACCAGCTCTGTGATACATTGTGGAACGAAGTAGTACAGTTGTCAAGAATTGCTAAGCGCAGAAGATAATGGCGAAAGCTATAATTAGCCAATCCCAATATATCGACAACAAATCTCGCCATCTATCCAAAAATCTAGTGAAACGATAATTAGTTATAAATACAAGTCGTAGTTAATAGTTGAACATCATTTTCTTTCATTCTAATAAAGATCATATTTTATTATAAACATTGTTATTTTGTTTATTCCCTGGTAAAGATATCTGCGTCGTTGGCGAAGCGTAAACCGCTTTTCCCGTCATCGGCGAATAGGATTGATACTTGCCAATCGATTCTATTTAGTACTTTAGTGTAGAGAGTTAATTACCCCGACCGGTAGGCTTTGAGACTAATCCCATGCTTCCGTCGGAAAAGGACTAAATCCCAAGGCCAGTGCACCGCCGCTCTCCCAGGTGTAAGCTAGCTCGACAGTAACGTCTTAAAGTTCTTTCGAACAACGTTCAGAAGAAAAGTCATGAACTAAGGATGTCACTCGATTTTATGTGCCAACCTTCTTAATGTTTATAAATTTTAAATAAAATAAATTCTGCTATCATGGTTCTTTTTTGTTACTGGCGACAATAACTTGACCGCGCAATATTCATTGGGGTAAACTACAACAAAGCCAGACATTTTAGTGAGGCTTTGCTTGATTTATAGCTGTGGCTCTTGCATGAATCCACAAACTAAATTTTAATTGCATTGTTATTATATGTGTGACTAATATTCAAATGCTTAAGCAGGATAAGAATGTATCAGTACAAAACAAAAGGCAAAAAATTTTGGACAAAAGGAATTAAAATTAGTAACGGCGTTTCGAAATTTCTGCGACAGGCGCAGTAATAGCAAAAACGGTTCGAAAAATCTGCGACAGCACAAATGCCATAATTAATTTATACTTTATTCAATTGATCTTCATAGAATTAGTAGTTTAGAAGCGTTTCACTTTTTCTGCGGTGCTAAAAGATATATAAGTAGCTCAATTTCCATCGTCAAATCCTCATGTTGTGAACATCAAACGTGAAAGTTGTTATTTAAATAAATCAATACTACTGATCTTAGTAGTATTCTCTTAACTCCTTTATTATCAATATTCATTTAATTTCTATCGTCGAAATAATTGATTATTAGGCCGGACACTCTCGCTTAAACTGTAACGGAATAGCGTTGATTTGATCAAGCTAGTAAGCTGTCCGTGGATCAATTACGTAAATAACGGAACGAGAGTTCATAATTAATTATTCTTTGATTAGTTTAGCAAGACAAGTGACGGATACCGACTAGTCGAAACACAAATCGAAGATAGCCCTGTTTATTTTGTTCCCCTTCGATTCTTTAATAGAATAATTGTTGTTACTATTCTATTAGAGGTACCCTTATTTGTATTCACGAGTGTTTGAAACTCGGATAGGGAGTGAGAAGCGCGCATAATAAAATAGGTCACTTGAGGCTTAATTCAGTCTTAATACAGATATATTTCCATATCTTAATGACGAGAGTGAGTATAATAGTTTTAAACCTCAAACTCCTATTAAAATTCAAGTTGGCATTGTGATTCAACTATTAGCAAATCCTCTGGGATATTAATATTGCCAACTAGAACAAATGTTGAAGCCATTCTGGACACCCTCAACATTATTATCATTATTTGTATCAATCCAACCTGCATACATTGTATAATAAAGGATCCGAGGGTTTTTTTGCTGCTTAGGCATTGCAATAAATATGAAAAAAAAAATTTCTTGACTCAAATTAATAAATAATGTATGTTCTATCCCATGTACTGCTTTCGTCACATCACATCGATCATGCGATATCAGGCAAAAGTTTGAATTATGTTCATATGAAAAATAACAATTTCCAACCCCCACCAAATAACTTCCATTTTTATCATCGATTTCCAAATTTGATCAGGAAATCAAGCTGTTGAAGCCCTAAGAGAAAAAAATTTAACTAGAAGCATATACGTGTAATAATTTTTATTTACTATAAAATTATTCAATACTGGCTTGGGACAAGTAATGTCTTTAAATTCATCTCTGACAAATGAATGAATAATATTATAAAGATATTTTTGTCTTTTTTAATCCAAGAGGAGGGGTTAGTACTAGCATGGAAAAAGTTTGGTAATTTCAGAAGCACTTGCTTTTCTAGTTTTTAACAAATTAAATTCAGTATAAACACCATTAGCAACCAGCTGGGCTTTGACAACTCCAGGCTGAAGAGAAAATGCTGATTTTTTGTAAACCACTCAATTTCTTAAAGAAAATTCCCAATATAGAGTTAAGATCTAAGTACTGAAACCCTTTTCCGTTGTCATAACACTAAACCTTGTTTAATCCCACTGCACTTAATTTTTAACAATATGATCCACACAATCTACAGTTGTTTTGCGGTATAGTTTCTTAATCAATCCAAAACTTGCCATCGCACTTGAATCTAGTATGTCCAGGCACCATAAAGTTTAATTCAATACTTTCGTAATAACTGCAATTACCAAATACAAGTAAAATCAAATAGTGGCATTATTTTTATTCTGTTCATCAGCATTATCACAAGTAATCTTTAGCCTTTATGTAATCTCTTAATTCCATCAAATACCATGCTTAGCATGTGTGCCATTAGGATCTTTCCCTACTATTTCGTCCTCATCGAGAACGTAATTAATTTGTTCTTCATCTTAAATACCAAATAAGTGTACTTTACGCGGACTGAGATGGTAAATCTTACTTACCTACTGATCAGAATGTGGAACGTGAACATTTTGTGCTCAATCGTATTTGTAATGAACAGTCGCGTCAGCACTACAATAATCAGCTTTCCCTCTAATCATAAAATTCTCATCTACCAATTTTATCTGTTGTCCTGCTAACTTCGTTGTAATAATTTCTTTCTAATTTAGCCTTAACCAGTTTTTTGTATTTTTTCAACAAGTCTCTTCCTTGCGAGCATTATGCTGTAAGCCATTCCGAAAATGTTGACAGGTATCGTTAAATCCGTTCTCGGACTCATAATTTGGATATAAAATGCCATAACTTGCGCAAATGCACCATATTTTAACAATTTCAACGTATTATCGTTTTCGACACCTGTAACAAAATTACGATAGACCGATTTGTAACTCGTTTCGGCTGGTAAGAGTATAAGCGATTGAGTAATGCGGTTGACATTTTTACCAAAATTAGTAATCCATGAATTTCAGCATAATTTTCAAGAAAATTCTTCACGGCTGTAGCAACGGTTATGTCAATGGTTATTTTTGTTTCCATCGCGGCACTTTTTTTACACTACCATAAATGCGCAGTATTATACCATTCGTCACTAGGTGATTTCTGACGTTTTCCAAATGAGTGCGGCCAATTCCTAACATATTGAGATACGTTTTCTGACAAAGCGGTGTATTGCGATCTCAGCAGTAAAACGTGTACGTGTTTTTTTTAAGACGTCGACTAGTACCCCATCCATAGAGCCATCTTGTTCGGGTTTGATAAGAGCTTGAAAATCTTCTCGCAATTTAGCAAATTCTTCTTTGGGCAGCTTGGCTGAGCAACCGCAACCACATCCCACTTCCAGGAAATGAAGAGCCTTCTCGTATTTGTTCATGATTGTGTTCGCCTACCATATATATATACAGTCTAATTTTGTAAATTTTTCTAATACCATAGACGCTAAATGAGAGCCACTCCGATGGTGTGTTTAGTAACTTAGTAACCTAGAAAAAATTTTGTATCACGTGAAATTGTTCGGAACGGTAAACAAATCGCGTGCCATATTTGTGAAGATAAACAAATTTCACACTTTATTATTACCACTAATATTAGACTCAAAGTAAACGTTTTCTAATTTCAACGCAGCCGCCAATGTGAGCCTTTACTTAGCCAATATTTACTGCAGGACAGCAAGGAATCTGCCACATGTGAACTTGGCAAAGATGGCAAGACTGGTGGTAAATATGAATTTAACAAAGGCTGCACCACACCATACATTAACTTTACTCACATGGGGGCATGGTTGTTATATTACTGGACAGCATGGTTCAGCAATGAGCCTGACCATTTGCTTTTTGAACTAGAAGCCTATAAACAACAAAGTATCCATTTACTAAACAGACATTTAGACATTTCAAAGGAGACATTATATCATATCAGAGGTCACATTAGGACATTGGAATTCTTTATTGAGAAATTCTTGGAGCCAAAGCTGCTGCTGAGGTTGAAGTCAAAAAAATTATATCAGATGTTGTATCTAAATTCGGGATCACTATCTTATTCTGTTGACAAATTATACAGAATGGTTGACATTGGCCATCATATTTTGGTGGTCCGGAGGCAACCAGGATGTTTTTTGAGAAAGGCGTAAGCTCGAATCGCAAAGAAAACAGGGTTGCAAATTGTTTAGAACGGCTCCGGTACGAGGGCGTGTGGATTACCCGGAATAGGATTGCTTAGTTACAAGTCTCACTAATCGATGGAATTGATATTTGTGTGCTTTGTATAATTACTTCTAGCAAGCTATCGGCTGACTACAAGAGTCTTGAGCCAGGATTGTTTTTTTGCAGGAAATACAGCAAATAAACATAAAAATTATCCCAAACTAAGCGGCAATTAAAGCAAATATCTCCTTTCTGATTAATTCCAACTATCTTGGGAGCAATGGGAAAATTTAGAACGTCAGATGTTCACTTTGTCTGGTTCTGTTGCAGCAGTCTACCCCATTTGGTATTTAACTCTGAAATATACGTTCACCGCGTGGTTGAGCTGTTAAATAAACTACAATTTGTTAAAATCCGTTATATGGTATTTGGTTGAGGTATAGAGCTAGTTAAGGTCAGCGATTCAATTCTGTCCTAGCGGTTTAGTTTTATTAACTTTGAATACATACAATCATTGTGCCAATTCAGGAGACTTTAACTTTAGTTGGTTCTTTTGAAACGTAGTTGTTGTATTGTAGTGACAACCAAATTAACGAAATACCTGTAATTGTAATAAACAATTGAGTTTATTTGTTCAAAACGTCGAAATAATTGAGCAAGCTGTTAGACTGACTTACTTGACACAATTATTGGACTAAGGGATCCCGGATTGAATTTAGCAGTTTCAAAAATAAACAGCTCGGTTGTGTAATGGAACATCACAACCACATACGTCCAAATAGAAATCCGATAAATCCTGAAAGAGAAAAATTCCAACAGTTAACAAGGTAAAACGTCGAGCCGAGTAAACTTGATATTCGATACATACGCTTTGTTGTGTAAATTATACGCTGCATACGCTCTCATGATGGCGACGATGAATGTCCAGGTCCCAAAAGTCCGTGCCATCAACGGCGTAACTACATATAAATCAAATATATAGAATCTGAGAGAAAGTTCGTTCATATCACTTGTTATCTCTCCTTTTACGTACCTTCATCGGGCTTAACATCGTAGACACCCTTGGTAAGAGAAAGAGTATAGAAATTTTGAAATGCATTAAAAAAAGCTAAAGATGATACAAACAGCATCCATTTGGGCAATGCGCCCGCTGGGAGAATATTAAAAATGGCCATAGGATATGAGATTAGTGGAAAGAACGAGAGAGACGAAGGTGCTGTGGTACAATTTAGTTGAGATCGGCCAATAATATTAAAAATAATGATAATAAATTCGGACTATTCGAGTCTCATTATAATTCACGTGATACGAACATTGAATATTATATTACTATTACTGTTGAGTTAACCAGATCATCTTCTTCTAATTGCCTTCTATTATCAAGCCGAGGGACTCGCGTCTCTCACAACTTTTGGATTTACAACAAAAAAAAATTAGTAGACGGCGTTAACAAAACTGCAAAAACCTCTTCAGTTGGTGAAATTTGACAGAAACGAGCCATAGGTTAAATGATTCTAGTGTCTAATACACAGTATTTAATATTACTTTACGCTTTGACATTATTTGTTCCAATTAATATGATTTAAACTTGTAATCTATATTAAATCTATTTTACACTATATCACAATTAAGTAATCACTAGTTAATTATAAACCGTCCTTTCACAGAATCACTAATAATCCGATATTATAATAATTATACCTTCCTATTGATTCCTTGTTCTTCCTCCTCCTAATGTATTAGTATTATCAAACACTCTCCCTAGTTTCCTTCCCAATTAATTACATCGCCATCACCAACTTTCCTATCCTCACTCAAATCGTCTCCCTCATTTTCCTCACGTCTTCCAACACCCAGATCAGACAAACTGATCGTACTCGCCGTCTGCCCTCCAAGTTTTCCATAAACTCCGCCTTCCTGAGCCCAAACAGACTCTATTCTGAAAAATATCCACATCCATCGCCTCACCACTTCTAACACTTCCATCATAAACACACCGGCTTGCAATTCAGCAATGACATGAAGGTGAGATGATATCTTTAAAGACCAGGTGAAGCGTAGAAGAAAGTCAAGAAGGATGGCAAAATAGTAAGAGAGCGGCTCGAATGTGAGGTTTGGACGAAGAGAGAAAGAAGGAACAAAGGTCTTGAGGGAGCTGGGCGTAAAAAAGTTGAGCTGCCAATCCATAGCCACGTCCCAGTAGAAAGAATACATAGAATTTATCGCTACAGAGATGAGCCTGAGAAGGAGAAAGCACATGTGTGTAAATATTTTTGATTCTACAGCCGATCATAATCATTTCACGCTAGGCCTAACAAACTTCCGCTGACCTGTACTCACCACAATGTATGTATATTATGATCACCGATCCACATTCCCTCCTCGGTTGTTGCATAGTGCTTTTGCAAAGCAGAAAAAAAGATAACGGGAAGTGCCGAAGTGTATTTTAGTGCATTAAATAAATGACGTTTCTTCGTGCTATTGGATGCCCAATATTCAGCCATGCATTGTCGAAATCGAACCAAATAAGGTAAACTAGAAACAAAACGAGTAAAAAAAGATGAATTTAGCGATTCGAGAAAAATACCCTTTATAGCACTTGTCCATGTTTTCACCTCTTTTCCAGTGCCCCTCCTTTCCTACCTTGTAAACAGAGGTGCAATAACATAGCTCCAACAGCGATTAGCCGAAAAGTTCTGTCCTCCGTTGGTCGTTATAAATAGCAAAATACAAGCAGAGACATATAAATCACCAAGAACTTTCGCAAAAGAGGTCAATATATCGGCAAGTATGGTATCGGAGAAATGCACTTCAGAGTGGAAGCCCGAGAATAGGACGCGACAAAGACATCTGTTAGAGTGAGATAAATCGGATAGATGAAAGAGATGGGATGGACATGAGAATTGTTGGGATTGGATGGGATGAGATGGAGTGAATGAAATGAGGAGTAACACTATAGTCTTTTCTAGATATGGTGGTGTCTCTCAAAGCACTCTTGGCTCTCATTGACATATTACTACAACCCCCCTCCCTCATTACTCCTCCACATACCTCATAAATTTAAACCTCTCTCTCCTCCTAATAATATCAAACGGACACAACAACATCCCAAACACAACTGCGTAACAAATCAGCGGCAGCACCGTCCATTCTCCAACTGCGACCACATCTCCATTTGTCACTATTCGAAACACCCAAAAATTTCCAACTATCCACAGGCTCAGTGTAAGCGCGATTGAGTATATGGGCTTATATGATGAGGTGGTTTTGTCTATGTGGAACAAGAGAATAGAGGGTACATCTATGGAGAACAAGGAAAGGAAGTGAACATTTGTGGCCCATGCCCAAAGACCGAAGACGGAGACAAACAGAACGCGGTAGGGAAGTGGGAAGTCTGTAGAGAATGTCCAGTTTGTGTAGGGCGGTACTGTGGGACTGCCGACGTCCATTGGAAAAAGAGGGGAAGGCGAGGGTCAATAACAAACAATAAACGAAAAAGAGAATCCAAAGTGGAATTTACAAAAAGTATGTGTGACACAAGTCATTTAAATGATGAATAACCAAATCGAGTTAGTAAGCTTGGCACATTGTAAAGCTTGGCACATGTAAGAGGTTCATTTGAACTAGTCGCAAAAGGATAATTCTTTCAACAACAATTTATCAAACTACACAAATTAATGAGGCGAAGATGAATGACAACACTTCCAAATCGATTGTAATTAATGTATACTTTGGGAATAATCATTGTGAACAAGCGAAAAAAATAGAATATTGCCACGGGCTAAGTCTCATGAAATAAGATTAAGGTTAGAAGCGTTAGATATATATATTCTAATGCGCGACAGGTTTGGAAAGTATCATTAAGCTCATTGAGTACAATATTAAAGTCAATACTCCATCCACATCTAAGCAAAGTGTGTTCGTTTCATCGCTTTCTATATAATAAACTGGGATATTGTTTATACTCCAGTGTATAACATAAGGAGCTCGCCTGTTTGATCTGCTTCGGGAACTGCATGAGTTGAAACTTCTGGATTTGCGTAGATAGGATTCTTTAAATTTGGAATAGCAATTTCAATTCCAGTCGTGTGTTGCTGAGCAAAGTTAATCCTAACTAAAGCGTTGTCAACTTGTTAAAAAAACAACTAAAGAATTCAGATCAGATAAGTCAAGCTATTTAATTTCCATTTTCCTCTGTAGAAATTAAGACAATTACATTCGGTTAATAATAGTTTTTATATCTTGTTCCAATAAATGAATCTACTTTATTATTATAGACATACATTAACAAAGTTAAGCCGCAAAAAAAGCCACTATAGACTCCTGATAGACTTTTGCATAAACTTCGGTGTCGAAAAAAAAGTAATTATCAACACACGGAGAAAATAATTTATCACTAGATTGCGAGTCTATAAGATGTTACGTAATTTTTAGGGAGTGAGTGATCGTACGATTACCGTAGAGCACTGAATATAGTACCCCGGGTACATATCTAGAACACCTCAAGTTTTTGAATTGTACCCGGGGGATGTACCCGGGGTACTATGTACGGAGGAGGGTACTATTTTAGGGGGTACTTTGAAATTCCTCGCATTGTACTATTACCATAGTATATGTAACACGTGACGTACGATAAACTATTTGTACCCGGGTACATTTCAAAAACTTTACCAAAAATTCCTGAATTGTACCCGGGTCCTAATTTAGGGGAATACTATTTAAGGGGGGTACTATATTCAGTGCTCTACGGTAACCGTATTTGACTAACGGACATAATTTAATAAAGCACTGGGATGTAAGTATACATTTTTTTCATACTCCGATACCCAAGGCCGTCGTACTATTTTCTCCAAGCATAAAGGTACGAATAAAATACTTTTTTTGGTTGTGGCTTACTAATTTCCGGATTTGCATGTTCTATTCATAACTGACTCTACCAGAATATCGTTGGGATATTGAGTCAGTATAGACGTTTACATAAGGTATGGTCTGTAGTAGTAGGCATTAGTATAGAAACGCCATATCACTTTGTAAACCAAGTCTATTACTATGTATCATCGACCCATATAATTTATTTTCTGTACGTACGTATCAATAATAAATCGTCTATCTGTGAATAACAAAAAGATTATGACTGTCAATTTAGTATTTTATAAATATTAAAAACAATTAAACTCTTCTAGATGCATAACTCCTCTAAGTGCATACTTTTGTCTGTGGACTTATCTTTATTGCATACACCCTTTGAATGCATATTGCAATCGATTTTGATAAATCGTATATACAGTGTGTCAAAAAAATTTGTATACGTCAACAAAACGCGTCTAGCATGCCCGTGACTCCAATAGTTTAAATACTTGGCGGCCACATGCTTTATAGTAATTGTCTTTAGTATAAGTTTTTGCAACACACGTGATTTCTTTTCAATGTTGTAGTTATATTCCCTACCCTGCAAACTTTGACTGAAATTGATATTAAATTATCATCTAAATTGTCTAAACACAAGATTAAATTTTGCAAACAGGGGAGGCTTGTTATAACTAGAAATCGACTCGGATCTATAGGCCGGACTAATGCAAGAGTGCAAGAGTAAGAGTATTGAGATTTGGGCAATGTTTAATTGCCAAACGAACGATTCTTTCTCGCACAGAACTAATATAATAATCAAACGGAAAATTTTTTTTCTTGCATTTTCTGTACAGTCGTTTTGCGGCGGAGAGAATTAAATGAATGTGGTTATAAGGTTAACTGACTGGCCGATTCTCCTCCTTGGATTTGATGAAAGGTTTGGCCCACAAGTATTGAAGAGCTACCACACACCAATTTTTGTTAACTAAAGTGCAAGAGTAGAGTGTAGCAGAATTATTTGCATACTCGTCAAGAATCATCGCAAGACATGTTTCAGAAACCGACTTGTGACGTTTAACGCAGTAAAATGTAATGTAATCCCCACCACCCAATGAATTTACTGCGTTGGCCAACAATATAATAGTGTGCCGCAAAAATGTAAACACGCCACAAGCGGTTACAAACGATTGTTTGGATTAACAAATTATTCTTTTTTGGTAAGTAATGAAATTAGCCATGGGATATGTTTTTAAGGTAAACTAACAGGTGTGTAATGCATACGTGTTGAGGTATCAGTATTGTGTATGATAACAAGGTAAACAGATATTCCATTGTAAAAAAAAAACGCTTTTGAGTTACTAAATACGTTAGCTAAAAATTTTCCCATTCATGAGGATGCAAAATTCACTCGGTATTTAAGACTTAACCTAAGGTTAAGGTGGTGCTACCAGCCACTTGTCAACCAGATTTGGTCGGATCGTGTGAAATTAACAGATCTGCAGACATCAAGCTTTCGATTTAGTGAACTCAAAATAGCTTTGTGGTTGAGCATTACGCGTTCGCGTAAGTCGTCGGTAAGTTTCGAAGGACTACCATATTTTTCCTTGGCCTTATAGAGAATTTGATTAAGCGATAAACGGAATGATAAGACAGCAGTGTACTATTCACCGTCGCCATACTATTATTTATTGTTTATCGCCTGATGGGCTATCAAATAAGTTTGCACTTATTATACAATTTGACCTATCCTATGTGTGGTCTTTGTCGAATGATTCAAACATACGACTTATGGTTTCTGACTGTACGCGCACAATTTGTCGAATGATTTGATGATCTAATATACGGCTTACGAAACAATGTTTAGAATTAGTCAACACTATACTATACGTACGCTTTGTCGAATGTTTCAATGACAATCATTGAATGAATCTTTCTGTGAGTGGTTGAAGATAATTTTAGCAGAATTCACACTATTTTTCATAATCTTTCTTCGACATTGCAGGTTATGCAGTTTTTTGTAAATGAGAATAAACGTTATTCGATCAGATGTGTTATATGATTCTTCTTATGACAGTGATACATACAGTGGGTACCAAAAGTTTGTGAATCTTTGCGTGAATCAATAGTAAAACATATGAAAACAAAAACTTTTTTGAAACATTTCACTGTTGTATTTACAATATAAGTAGCAATGCTTTTTACATTGATTTGAAACAAATTGATTGCACTTTTTTGAAAAAAAAAAGATAAATAAAATACACTATTGTTATAAAGCTGCAGTTTAATGAAGTGGGTAGTAGATAAACGCATATATGGTTTTATAGTTTTCTTATTGTAACTTATATAGTATCACTTTATTGAACTACAGCTTTATAACAGTAATATATTTTAATGAACTTTTCCCCTCCCCAAACAGTACAATCAATTTGCTTCAAATCAATGTAAAAAGCATTGCTACTTATATTGTAAATACAGCAGTGAAATGTTTCAAAAAAGTTTTTGTTTTCATATGTTTTACTATTGATTTACGCACAGATTCACAAACTTTTACGTATGTGAGTGCGGTTTTTGGGGATTAGACAGAGTTTACATTGTGATATGATTACATATGACAGCAATAAAACATTATGAAGTATAGTTAACTGTCATAATCGACAGTACAGTAATTGTTACGTGTCATTCAAGTGTATACAAACAATATAATATGAAGACGTAATACAAGTAGTAATACCACAAGTTACTTGCGCTTGTATAGATCATTTATTCTTTATGCTAAAATTTACAGACGTTAAATAACATATATTTATAACAAACCCCCCAGTTGCTTAGGGTTGATATCGTAATGTCAATAAAATACTTTTACCTGATTGTCTTTACTATTCCAATCATGTCCATTCGGAATGGACATAGATTCCAATTCGACATAAATTCCCAACTGAATATATATGTAATGGCAAGAACTTGTGGTATTACTACCTGCATAATGCCTTCATATTATATTGTTTATAAATACTTTAATCTTACCTCATACTGTACTGTCAATTATTAGGGTGGCAATTTAAGTTATAAATGATGGCAGCTTTGCGACAAGCGCATAGCAACTAGTCTTGCAACTACATCTAATCTTGGTTAAATTGACTAAGCTTTGAGCTGAAGCAGCTTTATACAATGTTAGGTATGTCGCCCAACTCTGTAGAATGAATACCGGGTTCAAGGTTTTATTGCACTTGGATGGTGGCGATGCGAATTTAGCTATACGAAATTGTTTAGTTTGTTTTTCATGCTAATACCACTAAATAAGTTCATTGGTAAAAAAGCTTAGGAGGTGGCGGAGTGGGCGGAATCATATAATTTGATGTATCACAAATATATAGGCTTTCGAAAGTTCCGTTGTCGACGTATATGTATGCCGTTTGAATAGAATGATTTATTTGTATATTTATAGTTTATGCACAATTACATCAACCACAAATGTATAAAGAATTCATTCTCTGCGACATGATTGAATGCATGGCTTATAACATACAGGCTATTCCATCAGTTAATTGACAGTACTGGTGTCCCAACAAACTGATGGCTTAACATGGCGATAGAACAAGCT